TAAATAAAAAGTAGATTTTACAAAACTATCAAAAAAAATTTTAAATTAAAAATGTGTTTTAATTGGAAATTTTTAATTAAAAAATTTTTATTAATCCTCTTATAAACTGGGGGAAATTAAATTATTAAAATTGATCATATTACATCGAATGAATATTGATGGAATTCATGTATATAGAATTTTTCTTTTTTTTCTCTTTTTTTGTTTTTAATAATTTTTAAAAAAGTAAAAAAAAATTTTTAAGAAGAAAGAAAATCCCTGAAAGAGAGAAAGTAAATGGAGTCTACTTATATATATATATATATAGTAGATGAAAGGAAAACTTCTTAGCGAATTATAACTCACTGTTCCATTTTGAACGTCTAGATTCGTTTCAAGTTTTCGTGTCGAGACATAAGCTTCTAAGGTGATGTCTTCTTGAATTTATGTCATATTGAAGTTTCAGCCCAAAAGTGTTATTCGAGGTTGAAATAACGAAGAGGAAGTGAAGTATCCGTATAGAAAATGGGCACTTGAGACGAACGGGTTTCACTTCCTTACAAAAGTTCACGGGTAAAATTTCTATATATATATATATATATATATATATATACTGATTCGATTGGCTCTCACAAGATGCATTCAGAAACTTTATCTCTTAATCGAGCCTTAATTCCTTCTTTAACGATTTTTTTTTAAGGATTGAGGGAAAAAGATTGCCGAGAGTAGTGTAATTAGAGTTTGTGGCGATGGTGATTGAAAATCTCGAGATGAGAAATTTTTGCTCGATAGAAAAAAATATAAGTAATTAAATTATACCTAATGATGCTATTGATTACATTTTTTTTTTTCTATTCTTGTTTCCTTTTCTCCAATTTTGCTACGATTGATTAAATATACTGAAGTGGGAGGAAAAAAAAAATTTCTTGTTGACTCAAGGGTGTGGCAACAATTTCAAGTTAAGAAAATTCCGGAATACTTTTTTTTTCAATGAAAAATCGAAATAAAGGCGTTGTCTTTAGACAAAAAAAAAAAAGGTGGAATTTTTTTTTTTATGTGAATATAATAAACGCATTTTGATCGAATAAGGAAAATAAAGTTTAAAAATAAAATAGCTTTTATTAAAGGATTTTAAAACGCAAAGTGTCACCCCCTAAGTATCTAAAGCTGTATGAGTTTCTATCGATGTTCGGTTTGCTTTTCACAATTTTATATTCTAAAAGGGAATACCAGTCAACGATCTGTACCTACAATCCCGACAAAACGTGACTTGGCTCGTAGATAGTTTCCTGATTTTACGACTATAGCTGCTACGATCAAGTATTACAACAAATATGTTATATTGAACTCTCATAATGAGAATATATTGCTTATTTTATTTTTGCAAACAAAAATATAGACGGAAAAAAAAATTTATTTCATTCAAATATATTCGATTACTTGATATTTATTTGTATCAAATAATTATTATTTGAGATTATATTTGTTTCAAATACAGAAATTATAATATAAAATTTTTTTTTTAATTCAAATATAAAAATTATTTGGTTCAAGTAAATATTTATTTGATAATAGTCAAGTAATCGAGTATTTGAATTTTTTTTTTTTTAGTATAAAATTTTAAATCTTCTAGTAATGTAGAAAAATCATTAACCTCTCTCTCTCTCTCTCTCTCTCTCTCTCTCTCTCTCTCTCTCTCTCTCTCTGTTTCTGGTTAACCGCAACGTCATGAAAAGTGACATGAACTGTTTTTGACATTTTTGTGATGAGTTCATGTCATAAAACTGAATTTTTTGAAAAAATAATTACAATTACAATTGTTTTAATTTGATTTTAATTATTACAATATAAGTGATATTAAAAGTGCACATTAATGCCATAAAAACCAATTAGAAATTACTCAGAAAAATTTTAATTCTGTTAAATTGAAAAATAGAAAGTCCGATATAAAAATTTCAATTATTATTTTAATAATTGCAAAGTGAATATAATTTTTTTTTTTTTTTATCTTAAAATCTGAATTTGCAGTTTTTTTTTTATTCAAAGAAAAACTAATTTTTTGAATTGAGAAAAAAACATTTCACTTATATATATGGAACTTTGGAAACTTAAACTCTAATTTATTGTCAAATGACATTTTTTGAGCTCTCAATTTTTATGGAATTGTCTATAAAAAAAAGAGAATTTTACGACTCAATGAAAACAACACTTTTGAAAAAAAAAAAAAAATTACGACCACGCGAGTTGAATCTGTGTTGATTTATTTAATTTCCAATTTATACTTTTCTCTTTATTTGTTTCCTTTTTTTTTCATCTGTAAATTATTTGTCATCTGACAAAAAATAAATTTTCTACAAATATATTTTTATCAATTAAAATTCATTTAATAAAAAGTATTAAAAAAAAAAATGCATATTCTGCATGATTTTACGATCAAATATAACTTTATATTGCCACACGCATATATGTTTTATATGTCAAAAAATATTGTTAAAATGAAAAATTTTACGGTGTTGAATTTTTTTTTTGAAAAATGGTTATTATTATAAAAACGAGGAATTTTTTTTTTTTTTTTACAATAGAGGAGAAAATGACTAACTGTCGATTGGATCAAAGTACTGACATAAGGATATTGCCGCACAAAAAAAAAAAAAGTAAAGGAAAGAAGGATCAGTGAATCAGTTTGTCCTTTACTACTATATGGTCATTTAACTCTCGTCTTTTTCGATAAAAGCAATCGATTAATCTCCGTGTGCAAGGTTTTCAAGAAGCGGAAACTTTTTTCGCTCGATTGATCTTCATCGAGAGATTAATTGTATCTGTCTTATATATTATAGATATATATAGTTCGAGCGATTCGCCAAAAATCACCCAAAAAAAAAATATCGGAAACGTCAAAACACCGACTGAATTTTTTTTTCGAATTTCAATTTCAAAAATGTCGAATGCATAAAATATTGTTATAGAAAATAAAATGGTGTATTAATAAAATGTCGCAAAATACTTTTTCCATTGTATTTTAATATTCTATTTCTCGATAAAAAGGAATTTTTTTTTTCCTCAATTTTTATATATAATAAATTTCAAAATTAAATTGAATTTGCAAAAAAAAAATTATCACAAATAACTTATTGGTGTGATTAGTTTCAAAAGAATTTTAATATAAAAAAAAAAATTGCTGCTCAAGTTTTATTGACGCTTTTAATCTGCTTTAGAGTTGCCTATAAAAAGTTGGCAATTTAATAGTTCCGAGAATGACAACTTTTCATTTCCTTCCAATTTTTATATGAATTGATTGATTTTTACGAGAAAATGTCACAGAAAATTAAGTTCAATATATATCATTGATTTAAAATCGTAAAATATTTTACAAATTGTTTGAATCAAAATTATTATTTAAAAAAAAATTGATTTTTTTTCTTAATTTTTAAAATTAGTCTCTTAATTTTTTTTTTTTTTATATAATTGTGATAAATTCCTTTTTTTCATTTACTCTCTATTCAACGTTTCTATTTTGTATGAAAGGGTATTAAATTAGACGCGCTCTCATCGATTGAAGATAACGGATGTACTTCCGAGTCATTTGCCATGAATAATATCCGCTAACATTATCAAAACACATTTTGGTGTTTTGGTATATAATGTTTCAATTTATCATGACAATGGAAAAAAGAAAAATTTTCCAACTCGAAAAATTTGATTTGATATAAATTCGTATTAGTCACTTTTTTTTTTTTTTTTTGTCATTCCTTTCCATCTAATCACATTTGACACGCCTAGTGGAAATATTTACCCACTTTATCTTGATCTATTATCTAATTAATACTCTTTATTTCTCCACTAATTTTTTTTCAAAAATTTTTTTTTTTTTATCTATAATTTTCTATTGTCCCAATAATGGAATTTTTGTTTAAAAAAAAAAAAGAATTTTTTTTTCCTGTATTTTACACACATATAAAAAGAAAATATTATTTTAAGATGAATCTTAAAATTAGTTATATAATGGAAATTGTATTGCGTAAATTCAGCAAAGCTGCCTTAAAAATGTTGCCTCTTGAAATAAGACCTTTTTTCGGGCTTTCCAATCAAAAATTTATTAATGGCGCAGTACTGGCGCAGTACTGGCACCCAGTATTGATACAATGAAAATACCCAGTACTGGTTCAGTACAGATTGCCCAGCCTCGGCAGTCAATATTGAACCAGTACTGCGCCAGTAGTCAACTTTGGTATAATACTGAAATTTTTCGTTGGTTTAAAATGAAGACTTTCTTTTTATACAGTGTATAAAATAATCTAATTAGGTCGTCATTATTCTTTATGTCAAACTGAATTATTTATTGAAAATTGATCGTAGAAAAGGGATTTCTGTTTGTCAAAGTCATTAATAATCGATGGTGAATGTAAATGTAAACTTAAATGAGAAGCATGTGGGTCATAGAACGAGTTCGCGAACTAGAAATGCTCGCGAGCAACAGACTCGATGACGTCGTGACGTGACGCTCAAAACTATTCTTAGCACTCTGCATTTACAATTTATCGTTAAAAATAGCAATAATAATCTTTGATATATATTAATGTCAAATGGATTATAATGATAATAATCAATAATTTTCTCTTAAAAAAAATTTTTTCGATTAAACAAAAATGAAAATTATATATTTTCTATATTTTTTTCAACATAATTTAAAAAAGTTTCTTTAAAAAAAAAAAAAAAATTAATTATTAAATTTTTATATTAATATTTCAAAAATTTCAAAAATGAAAATTCAAATATATTAAAAAATTTTTCAATACGGAATATTGCATCCCTGAATATCGATTTTAACGTTTCGTGGCAGCTTATCGAAACTTTGTTGTACTTCTGTCTTCTTTGAGTAAATCCAAACGATACGAATTTCCAGGAAAATGTTTTACATTCAGAATCAATAAATGGTTTTGTCTTTGAATTTTCGAAAATAATTTCAATTTTTTTTTTTTAATTTTTCTATTGACAATTAGGTATATATGAATTACATTAAATTTGAAATAAATTTCTTTTTATTGAAACATTTTTTTCAAAACAATTGTTTGGAAAATAAATCACTCTATTGGTTTTGTACATTTACCTGTAAAAAAAAAATGGTATTTAAAATAATGTATAAAAACAAATCTTATTTAAACATTTCAATTTTAGAGAAATTTGAAAATTACAAATAAATTATATTAACACAGAAAATTATAAGGTATTAAAATAAGCTGCAACGCTTATTATTTTAATCCAATTTTTGCTTATTTTAATACAAAAATGGATTAAAATAAGCAAAATTGGATTAAAATAATAAGCGTTGCAGCTTATTTTAATGCCCTTTTAATTTTCTGTGAAAATGTTGATTTATATAGGTATATTTTTTTTTATTAGGACATTTTTATTTATTTGAAAATATCTTACCGTTTAGACATTCATAGGAACAGCATTGATTTGGCACATGGCATACAATGCCTTCTGGACGACACAACAAAGCATTAGCTATTTCAGCACTAAGATAAATTAGGCAAAAAATAACAAATATTCTTACGAATTTAAACATTTTGAAAATTTATCGTCGAAAATTAATTGCAATTTATATAGGTATATAAACTCTGGAACTTTGGTTATTTTTCGCAAAATTATCCCTTCCATATTACTCTCTTCAGTAAAGTATACATTTTTTCTTTAATTGTTTCCAATAATATTTTTCCTACTCCTGTAATTTGTTGAACTTTAAAATTTATTATTTTCATTTCTGTTAAATGTTCATATATATATTAGTTTTTGCGAATAAAAAAATGTTTTCAAAGAAAAATGTTTAAATTATTTTTATATTATTTTTTATTGTTTAAAGAAATTCGTTAACTATTTTGAATTTTTATACGGCACTGAATATATCGGTGAGTTTTTCCTGCATAACAAAGATAAGAATAAATGTTTCCTTGTTTCTCAAAACCCGTAATGATAAAAATAATAAACAATTTTTAATTTACAATACAGGTGTTCTTTTTTTTTTAATTAAAAGTCTAAATGATATTAAATAAATAAATATTTGTTTTAGAGCTATAAAAGTCAATTTGAGTAAAAAAAAAGAAAAAAAAAAAAAAAAGAGGCAGGCAATTTTCAACTTTACATATGCTAACATGCAAAAGGTCAATGAAAACCATTAAACAACTTTTCACTGGTGAAAAAAGTTGAAAGCTTAATTTATTTTATATAAATTGTTAAACTCATCAAGTGGAAGTCGAAAATAATTTACTTTTTAAAATTTGAATATATTAAAAATAATAAATTGTTTTTAAATCAATTATATTAAATTCTCATATTGTATCGAATGAAAAGTAAAAAAAGAAAATTTATAAGAAATAGTTGAAATTATAGATAAAATTTTTTTTACAATTTATAATGAAATTAAAATTACACGATAATACTTGTTAAAATTCATGGAACAAGATTTTTTTTTTTTAAGTTTTAAAGAAAAATAGTAAAGTAATGTTGGATTTTAATTTTTACATTAATTTACTCTTAACATGCAAGCACTCGGGATAATTACACTAATGTTCTAATATAGTTTGACTTTTTGTAGAGACATCAGAAATGAAATTATGTTTAAACAAAATGATTTTTATAGTTATCAATTTAAATTTTAAGAATAAACTGCATTAGAATATATTATATATTATAAAATTATAAAAATAATTATAAAAATTATAAAAATAATTATAAAAATTTTCATTATTATTATTAGTATTATTTTTATTGTTATTAGTTATTTTCTCAAAAATTGATATAATTATGATATCTTCAAAAAAAAAAAAAAAAAAAAAAAATTGAAAAATATAAGGAAGAGGATGACACGATATGGTCTCTTTTCTTGTTTCAGAGTTCGTGTTGAGTATTACGTGAATGAGAATACATTCAAGGAACGCCTTCAACTCTACTTCATCAAGAACCAACGCTCGAGTAAGTTAATTACCAACAGTATCCTTGCACTGAAAGCGTGAATGGAACCTGAAAACGAGTAAAATGTGCATATTGTATATATATATAGTTTCATTCCCATTCTTTTCGAACACAAGAAGAAAAGATAAGTTTCACTAAGTCGCGCATTCACGTTATATATATTAAAATATCACGATGTTTTTAGTTAAATTAATTATTTTGTCTTTTTCATAATATTTCACTTATTACAATTGCAAGAATTTAAAAAAAAAAATTATTTTTCTAATAAACTTCAATTTTTAGAAGAAAAAAAGAAGAATTAGAAATTATTTTAGAAAAAGTTATCATTTATAATAATTTTAAAAAATTATATAAAATAATTGTCGAGTAACGAAATATTTTAAGACAAATAGATCCGTGAAGAATTCACGTTTTTTTATTTTATTTTATTTTTTTCACTTCCTTAATTAAATTTTCAAAATTGTAAATTGAACGTATAGTAGGAAAATAAAAATTTGTTTCATTAGGAAAATGAATTTTCAACATTTCACTGTTATTTATTTGCTTTTCATTTTTAATTTCAAATTTTCTTTCTCTTAAATGTAAATAATCATATTTTGTATAAAACAATATTTTATTTACGAAATTTTTCATTTGGCTTTTTATAAAAAAAAAAAAAAAATACATGAAAATATAAAAAGACATCTAATTTCTGTTTCTTTATTTATTTTATTTCTTCGTTCAAATTTTACATATAATTTTAATTTTCAAACTATTTTTAATTCTCTAAAAAGCAAAGTTTAAGGATGCTAATATAAACTAAATTTGTTTTTTGTTCAGCTGAAACCGGAGCTTTGAATTTAGTTCCGAACTCGACTATATAAACCTTGAGAGAAATCTATTATAGACATGATATAAAAATTTTTTCAAAATTTCCAAAAACCAAATTGTTTTTTTTTTTATCAAATTTCTTAATAAAATTTGGTAAATATATTTTTATTGTTAAAAAAAAAAATTCGAATTTCTCATATTTATCGAGAATTATCTTTATTTTTTATTTGGTTTTTTTATTAATATAGTTGAGTAAAAAAGGTCAAAGGTCAAATTCCTTTTTTGAAAGAAAAGCTTTTTATTTGAAGGCAGGGATTAGACAGACCACGATAAATCACAATCAAAAGGCTTGGCAGTTGTGTTTGGTTGTAAATAAGCTTTAAGAATCCGGAAATACAAAAAATATTTTTCAAAGAAAAAAATTCTAAAAAAAAAGTCATTGACATTCATTTGTTATTTTTTATATAGTAAAATATTAGATTATTTTTTTTAAACGCATATAAAATTTACTATTAAAAAATCTAAAATTTGTGGAAGATAACGAAACACTTTAACTTTATTTATAGTTGAGAAACTTTTCCAAGTAGTAAAAATATAATATGGTCAGACATAAGGAATGAGAGAGAGAGAAAGAGGGATTTTACAGTTTTTAATACTTTTAAACATCGAAACAGCTTCTCTTTTTCTTATTATTATTAATTATTCTTCTTCATTGGCAGATTGTATTTACACTAAAAACATCATTTCTCCAAGAGTTACTTTCACAAAGTTTCATGTTACTCGACAGAAAAAAAAGAAATCGTTGATTTTAATTACTTACTCGGATACCTAGTTACAATTTTTATAAACAGAAATTTCTTTCGCAATATCATAATAGAAAAATATTGAAGGAAATGCAATTTAAAAATTTATTTATTTCCTTGAATTACAAATTATATTTTTCTTTCAAATACAACAATATAATTATTGAAGATAATAATAATATTACAATAATTATAATTATTGTCTCCAAAAATATATAAATTCAAATTACTTTAATATTTTTAATTTCGAAAAAAAAACACAAATTTTTTATTTAAAAATTCTATATTTATATAAACGACCTTTTTTTTTACTTGTAAACTCAACCGAAAATAGATGCTTTTTAAAAGTTAATTGGAGAAAAATTTGTAAAACAATTCAGCGGAAAAAATCTAATAGAAAATTCTCGATATACTTTGAGGTATATAGAATTTTGTCAATATCAGATATCAGATCAAAGTGGAACATAGACCGTGTCAAACTTAACACACCCTCTGTATATACATATGTGTATGTGTGGGCAGGTAGAAGAGGTTGAACTGGCGTGTGAACCTGTATAGTTGAACAAGCCTTTGTGGCTACTCGATGTCGATGTGAAAGTCCTAAACCACACAAAACGACCGCAAGGAAGTAAATATTTGTCACAAAATTTGTTTCACTATCTATATATATATATATATATTTCCGAATCATTCCATTGGCTCTTCATCATCTTGATGGTTTTTTTTTTTTTTTGACATCAAACATATATTTAATATCATTTATTTTTTATAAAAGCCCATCTAATTTATTAATAGCAAACATTTTGAAAGTCTTTATTTATATATATATATATATATATATATATATATATATTTAACATCATTAGTTAAAATTTCTCATAAATCGAATTTTTATTCGTTGAATTTTTTTATTTTGTGTCAAAAATTTTTTTTTACCGTAAAATTGTTGAAAAATTAAGTGTATAAATTAATAAGCGATTGAAGTAAACTTTTTCTAAAAAATAATTTGTATTTTTCTACATTCAGAATTTTTTTTTTTTTTATTTAAAGAAATCTATTTCTTCTGCAGTCCCTATAAGTACCTAGTAGTCCCCAGTAGTTTCTAGTAGTTACTTAGTAATGCCTAGTTGTTTCTAGTAGTCCCTAGTAGTTATTAATAGTTATCTACTTGTCCCAAATAGTCCCTAGTTTTTCCTAGAAATACCTAGAAGTATTTAATAGTCCCTAGTAGTTTTTAGTAATTATCTACTTGTCCCAAATAGATTCTAGTAGTCACTAGAAGTACCTAGTAGTCTCTAGTAGTTCCTAGTAGTTACCTAGTATTCTCTAGTAGTCCCTAGTAGTTATTAATAGTTATCTACTTGTCCCAAATAGTCCCTAGTTTTTCCTAGAAATACCTAGAAGTATTTAATAGTCCCTAGTAGTTTTTAGTAATTATCTACTTGTCCCAAATAGATTCTAGTAGTCACTAGAAGTACCTAGTAGTCTCTAGTAGTTCCTAGTAGTTACCTAGTATTCTCTAGTAGTCCTTAGTAGTTTTTAATAGTTATATACTTGTCCCAAATAGTCCCTAATTTTTTCTATTAGTTCCCAGTAATCCTTAGTTATTCCTATTAGTTCTTGGAAATTCCTAGTAGTTTCTAGTAGTTACTTAGTACTCTCTAGTTGTTTCTAGTAATCTCTAGTATTTCCTAGTAGTTACGTAGTATTCTCTAGTAGTCCCTAGTAATTCCTAGTAGTTCCTAGTAGTTTCTACTAGTTACCTAGTATTCTCTAGTAATCCCTAGTATTTTTACTATTTATCTACTTGTCCCAAATAGTCTCTAGTAGCCCCTAGAAGTACCTAGTAGTCCCTAGAAGTACCTAGTAATCCCTAGTATTTCCTAGTAGTTACGTAGTATTCTCTAGTAGTCCCTAGTAATTCCTAGTAGTTCCTAGTAGTTTCTACTAGTTACCTAGTATTCTCTAGTAATCCCTAGTATTTTTACTATTTATCTACTTGTCCCAAATAGTCTCTAGTAGCCCCTAGAAGTACCTAGTAGTCCCTAGAAGTACCTAGTAATCCCTAGTAGTTTCTAGTAGTTACCTAGTATTCTGTAGTAGTCTGTAGTAGTTTTAACTATTTATCTACTAGTCCTAAATAGTCCCTAATTTTTCCTAGTAGTCCCCAGTAATCCCTAGTTGTTCCTAGTAGGCCCTTGTAATTCCTAGTGGGACCTAGTAATTCCTAGTAGGCCCTAGTAATTCCTAGTAGTATCTAGAAGTTACCTATTGTTCCCTACTTTGTTCCTTGTAGTCCCTAGTAGTACTTAGTAGCCTCTAGTTTTTCTTGTAGACTCTACTAGTTCTTAGTAGTTACCTACTAAACCCAAGTAGTTCCTAGTAGTTCCTAGTAGTCCCTATTGTGCGTAAAATTTTTTGAAAAATGATTTCATTAAAAAAGAATTTAAAGAAAAGGAATTAAAAAATATTTTTTAGAAAAAGTGATTGTTAATTAATAATTTAATTAATTTAGTTACTCTTTTATTGTTTCAGGTCTAAGGATACGATTAGCCAACCTTTTTTTTAAACTATTAACATGCTTCCTGTATATTTTTCGAGTTGTCACCGACAACGATCCAACATTCGCCGCATGGTAAGTAATTGATATATATATATATTTTTTTTAATTATTTCTATTAAAAATTGAAAAAAAGTACAATAATTGAAAAAAGAAAGTCCCTCTTTACGAGAAGATTTTTTTTCGAGTTACTTATTTTTATGGGATTTAATAAACCTTTTGAAAAATCTTCAACTAAGAAGGAAGAAAAAAAAGTGTATAGTGGCAAAAATAGTAGATATAGAGAGAGAGATCCATGAAGCTAATCATCGTTACATTGTCGGGAGGAAAAGTGAGATTTGACAGGAGGCAATTTGTTTTTATGGGCAAAACGCCAAGGGAGGAAAAGAAGCACCAATATTACTCCACTGAGTGAAGGATTTTTTCATCTTTTTTTTTTTTTTTTTTTTTTAGCTTCAAATATCCTCTGACTATATGTATATATATATGTCATCTTGCATTTTTTTTCCCGCAGTTACGGCTGCACTGCCGGCAACAAGAGCGAGTTTCTTGTGTCGAGACATCTCACGGGAGAAGAGTTTCAAGACAATCCAACCATCAACTGGGATGCAATCCTGTGGGTGAGAAGACCCCTGGAATTGTGGATCGTTCAGGTGATTCTCGCGATAATATCACTGACAGAGACTTTGCTACTCGCTTATCTGGGATACAAGGTACATTTATTTATTTATATGTATATATATATATATATATATTCCACAATTATTCTCCTTCTCTCTCTCAATTCCTAAACATCAAAATCATTTTTTTTTCTTTTCTTCCTCTATTTCTTTTTATTTTTCTTTTTTAATTTTTATACAAAATTCAAAAAAAAAAAAAAAAATTCAATATCTTGTGTCGTTTAAATTTTAAACCACCACTTTTTAGATAAATAAATATATAGAACAATATCTGACACTCTACATTATTTGCCATATAAGAAAATTCACTCAAGTAGAAACATTTGATTCAGTCAGACATAAAATGAGAAAAAATTCTAATCATGTAGAAAAAAAAAATCATATTATAATATTGAAAAAATATAGAATTCAAAACGCTTTCATTTTTTAGTATATATTCAGAATTTTAAATATATAAAGTAACAAATTTTTAATATAATCATATATAGACAAAAATAAACAATAATAAATTATAAATATTTTATTTTACACTTTATGAGCAATCTTAATAAAATATTTTCTTTTTACATTAAAAGTATAAAACAATTTAAGTAGAAAAATCTGTTTTAGTCAGACATATTATAGATGCGCAATTTATAAGTGGGAAATATCAAATAAAGAATTTTGCTATTCTCAAATAGAAAAAATTACTTTTTTTCCGAATAATTTAAATATTTTAAAATTTAATTTTAAGTATAGAAAAAATATATGTTTTAGTCAGACACGGTAAAAAAAATTTCTAGTTAAATAAATTATTTAAAGTTTTTCTAAAAAAAATATTTTCTAATTTTTTTTCTTTTTTTTTTTTTTTTTATTTTTATGCAATGGCTGTGTTGAATTTATGCAATTGAAAACACCGATTATAATTATTAGAAATAGATGTTCAATTTTAAAGCCACTAAAAAAAAAAGAGTAAAAAAAATTTAAACTTCTTCATCTCTTTTGAATGCCTATAAATATATACATTTCTAGATATATTGTTCTGAAATAGCAGTGAATTCAGAGTAAATCTAAAAAGTTTTAGTGTGACACAACTTTAAAATCGACTCTGCTGCTTATATATATATATATATATATATATATATATATATATATATATATATATATAGAGAGAGAGAAATACTATTTCCGGTCAATAATCTCAAGAGTAAAACTAAAGTCCTTCAAACGTTTATTTTCATGAAATTTGATATTACGCCTCGTAAAAGTCTCTCTTTCTCTCTCTCTCTCTCTCTCTCTCTCTTTCTCTGAATTGCGAACGACAGGAAAATAAATACAGCAGAAGATATCGTCTCGCATTTCGCGATTTCTTTTCTCGAGAGTTAGATATTTTGTCTTCTTCTTCTTCTTCTTCTTCTTTTTATTTATTTTTTTTTTCTTTTCGAAAGGAAACTTTCGACAAATATGTTTACACGGGGGAGTACATTGGAAATCTTTTCTCGCGGACACTCCAGAGACGAATGTTCTCAAAATCTCTTCTCGACTGCAACTCCTCTTCTAAATCAGATGAACTTTTTTTATTTTTATATTTACCTTTTCTTACTCGATTTCATCATAAATCTCCATATTGTAAATAATTTGTCGTTTTATTCAAAAAAAAAAAAAAAATATATATATATATCCTTAAATATTTTATCAATTTTTTATTTCTTTTATCTTTTTTTGAAAACAAAAATTATTTTTTTTTTTTGTAATTTGTAGAAAACCTGTTTCTGTTTTTATAAAACTTTTCGTAAAAAAAAAAAAAAAAAAACTCAAAGCCGATATATAAAGCAAAACTGCAGAAGGATTTCCTGTATAAACTTCAAGCGGAAGAATTTAGCTGGAAAATATTTGAGGCCTCAATTGCGAGTATTTTTCTATTTTTAAGTCAACAAATGGAGAAATATAGCAAAAGAAAATGTGAAAAAAAAAAACGCAAAACTAAATATTTCTGGTAAAAGTTTTCTTTAATCGTATATTTGATCCAATTTCTCAAAGTATAATTTCATTAATATTGTTATATCAACTCTGGAAAAGAACATTAGTGTCACATATTGTAACAAAAATTTTCACTAAAACACAGAAACTTCATCTTTGTCCTGTCACCTACATTTGATTTATTATCTCTCTTTAAAATTCTATTCAATTTTTTAGCAAAAAAAAAAAAAAAGAACCTTCATTTATTTTTCAAATTTATAATTTTATATAAAAAAAAAAATTTTTATCATGAAATAAATAATAAAAATTATATTTTCAAATCAAAAATTTTAATCAAATATTTAAAATTAATTCAACTTTGGAAAATTCCTGAAAAAAAAAATGTCAATTTTAAATTAGAATATGAATTGTATGACTAACATAAAATTGCCAAGGTATTAATAATATGATAACGAAAAAAAAAGAGTTAAAGCTGAAAATAATCCGGTTATCTTTCTGCAGCAGTCAGTCTCCACCTTCTATTTGCACTCGGGGGGGAGAATTTTTCCTTTTCTTTGATTAGACGCGGGTGAATTTTTTTTATTCAAGTTTTTTTTTTTTTTTTCTTTCTATTTTTTTAAGTTGGGTCGGTTTTTACTGAAAAATGTTGCCTCCAAGGCACAATGGGGCTCATATTTTTCAGTATATGGAATGGCACATGCAAACTCTCTCCTTTCGTCAGCATTCCTTTAGGCGACAGATTTCAAGAATGGAAAAACGAAAACTTTCTTTTATTCACATATACAGAACATATGAATTCAAGCCTCGAGCTCACAACTCAAGGATATATTTTAAAAAATAAATAATATATGTTACGCGATTTTTCTAGAATCTATTATCTCTTAAAAACACTCTTTAAAAAAAAATTTTATTGTTATGTAAATGATAAAGAAAATTATTTCACAAAACTTATGCGCGTAATTTTGTTGTTAAAACTCACATTTATTCGCAAAGTCGTTAAAGCTTTCTATGTAAATATGTAGTATGCATATGCAAATATAAATATATATATATATATATGACAACGAAAAATGTGAAAATATTTTTTTACAATCTTCTTAAGAATAAAAAAAATAAATAAACTATAAAAATAATTATCGATTTTTAAATTATAAAAAGTAGAGAATTAATTTTTATTCACAAAGCAAACAAATACGAATAAATAATGAGAGATAAATTATTTGTTAGCAAAAAATTCATTGTTTGTTCATTTCTTAAAAAAAGACGCACGCAACGTTTTCTTCAATGATCGAATATATTTGAATAGAAACTTTTCTCATTTTAAATGTTTGACTTATATATATATATATATATATATATCAACAAAGAAAGTTAAAAGTTTTTTCTTTGACATTTCATTCTTTTTATATCATCAATTTAATATAATAATTTCATTATACATTTTGATATAAAGAAAATTTTCATTGATTTTTAACGAAAACACTAAATAATAAATTAAGAAACTAAATAAAAAACAAAATAAGAAAACTATAAACAAAAAACTAAATTAAAAAAAAAAAATTAAAAAACGAAATAAAGAATCTAAATAACAAATTTAGGTTTAAATTGTACTGCCATTGAAATAGACATATTCATCTGCTACTGACAAACAATAAACAAGTTTAACAATTGATTTGAAAGAAAAAAGAAAGAGACAATGAAATATTTTTAATTAAACGCCTGGAAATTCAAATTTTCATCAATTGAATGAAACTTATAAAATATTCCAAACGGCATTTATTATTAAAGAGTTTATTAAACTCACAACTGTCCCAATTTCGTTACTTACTACTTTTTTGAGTTTAATATATATATATTTTCACTTGAATAATAGACTGACAGTTTAATCAATATTTGTTTTTTTTTAATATTCCACTTTGTGAATTTTGATAAAGGCATTATAATTATCTGGATTATTTAAATAAAATAATCGATAATGAACGAGGGTCTAAAATTCTTGAATAAAAAAATTTTAAAATAAAGAAAAATTTAAAAAAAAATGAAAAACAATTATTGGTATATTTTTTAAAAAAATATATTCAATTTTAATATCAAATTTAGAATATTATTTCGAGTATAATTTCGAGGTAGCATCAAAGCAGAAGGTTCCTCATTAAAATTAATGAATGAAGAGAGAGAGAGAGAGAGAGAGAGAGAGAGAAAGATGACGTTTTCCTAAGTCGCAATCAGGATATGCATCGCAAAACAGAGTCTCGCGTGTAAAGATGCAAACGGATGTAAATCTTGGAATTCACATTCACATTTATTCAGATCAATCGTGAGCTTGAAACAACTATTCAAGAATAATTCTATTGGCTGTGCGAGAAAGAAAAAGAAGTAGAGAAAAAAAAAATTAGTCTCTCTGAATGAAATGTTAATAGAGATGAAAAAAAAAGTATAGAGAGAAATTTAAATTTCTCCCCCCCCCCCCCCAAAAAAAAAAAGAAGAAAATTGATTTCCTCTATTGAACAGAAAAAAAAAGAAATTATGCAATCCTTTTTCTGCAAATACCGCACAGAGAAGTCGAAATTTAGTTTTCAAGGAATTAATTATATTTAAAGCTCTCTAAATAAACATATAATTTTCTGTATTTAATTACCGTGAAACTAAATATATAATTCAAGAGATCGAAAAATAAAGAAAACAAAAATTGTCTGAGGTGAATTTTTATTTAAAAAAAAAAAAAATAGAGAACATAATTAATAATTTTCATTTTGAATTTTGACATCTTAGAAAAAAAATTAAATTTTTTTTTTCAAATCCTATTTTTAACTTCACGTATGTCAAATTGTCTTTTTTAATGTCCACAGGGGAACATCTGGCAGCAACTTATGTCTTTCCATTTCATTCTGGAATTAGTCACAACGATTCCTTTTACTGTTACAGTGAGTAAATTTAATTTTAATTTTTAAATATACATATACACAACACATTTAAAATTGAAATAAAAATTTTCATATGAGAGAAAATGATAATTTTGTTTTTAAAATATCTAAATTATAATTGTCTTTGGCCGTTAATAATAATTTATCAATTACAAAAAATTTTTCCTTTATTATATAATATCCATGAAACTTTATATTAACTTTTAATAATTCTCTGCTCGAAATAAACTTTATTTGAACTTTTCAAGATGCGTGAATTTTTATTCTCCTTATTTATCTCGCCCTTTGAAAACTGACTTTGATAATCAAACAATCTTCTTAGAAAAAAAAAAAAAATGAGAAAAAAAAAGTTTTCCTATATTTGCAATCCTACCAAGTTTTGAAGTTAAAACAATCTTCAGCGAAAGGAATCCTTCTATTATTCAACAAAATGTGTCGGTAAAAACTTTGAAAAAAAAAGTGAAACAACATTTTCAATATCGCAAAAAAGCTGAGTTTAAAGCTTTTTTTTTTAAAAAAAAAAATTCATTACAAAACAATAAATTAAGTTTAGATTATAATTTATGGATTATTAATGAGATTTTGTTTTATTAAAATAATTTTTATATTCAGCTCGGTTTTAATGTATATACTTTGAATAAAACAAAAGGACGGCATTAATATTCTTTAATGTTTATTCTCAGCACTGATATGTATATACGGTTTATTCAAAATAAAGCCATTTATTTCATTGAAGGAAAGCAAAACGATATAACGCATTAAATATATACACTGAGTGTATTATCCAAAGTAATTTAATTAGCTTAACCTCATTAGTTTGTCAACGCAGCTTCGTAATATGCACGCATAGTCGTAAATCCTGTAAAACTTGATGGCTTTGTTGCGTCGCATAATAATTTAACCAGATAGCTATTAATGTCAATTCAACAGTGCAACTGACAAAGAAAAATAAAAAAATAGCAAGTGTAAAATATCAAAGCATCCTGGAAAAATTGTTTAAAAAAAATTTCAATTTGTTTCAAAATTTGCCATATTTTTTTAAATATTTTTCATTAATACTTAAAGGTAAAATTAAAGAAATATAAAGAAACTAAATGGAGAAAAAAAATAATGAAAAAACTAAACAAAAAAACTAAATATAAAAAAACTAAACAAAAAACTAAATAAAAAACTAAATAAAAAGTCAAATAAGAAAACTAAACAAAAAACTAAATAAAAAAGTAAATATAAAAAAACTAAATAAAAAGTAAAATAAGAAAACTAAACAAAAAAATTAATAAAAAAAATAAATAAAGAAAAACTAAAAAGAAAAAAATAAATAAAAAATATTAATAATAACTAAATAAAAAAAGTAAATTAAAATTATTTAAAATTACACAGTTTTTCTGAGGATACACTGAAAAAAAATTTATTTGATTCAAATACCAATGTATTTGGTTAATATCAAATAAATATTTACTTGAATCAAATATATAATATTTGAATCAAATATTTCAGTATTTGAAGCAAATACAATTTATTTGATTCAAATAAGAAATATTTGATTCAAGTAAATATTTATTTGATAATAACCAAATATATCGGTATTTGAATCAAATAAATTTTTTTTTTTCAGTCTCAATTTGAGAGCCTCAGAAAACTGTGTATAATTGATTTTTAACTGTTTATATAAAAAATTAAAAAAAATTGTACCAGAGAAATGATTTATTTGAACCAAATAAAATATATTTGAGTTAAATAAACGTATATTTGTCTCAGAGCCTACTAACTTATTTATTTGGCGTAAATAAAAGTTTTATTTGTCAGAAATAAATTTTTCTTTGCCTCAAATAAATTTTTTATTTCAATGAAATGAAATATATTTGCAACAAATAAATGAGTTAGTAGGCTCGGAGACAAATATACCATTTCTCTGAGTGTATATATAAATATTTTTGGTTTCTTAAATTGTTGCCGCTCATTGTATAAGTAAAATGCAACAAAAATTTCTCTATAAATATTTTTGAACAAGGATGGCGCACATTTTTTTGTATAAAAGGAAACATTTGGAAAAATTTGAAATGCCACCATGTAAATATATACATATATAGTAGAATTGAAATATTTACTATTTTGTCCTTTGATGCTCAAATTCAGGCACAATGAGCAAACTTCAATTGGAATAAATTTACGTGGAATGTTTACCCCGTCAATATCTGAATGGATTACAAATATATTAGACATATACATCGTTTACCATAATATATTCCAGAAAAATTTTCACAACTTTTAACAAAAAAAATATATATATATATATATATATATATATATGTGTGTGTTTTTCAATTATTAATTTTATTCTTTATTTATTTTCACTTCTTTTATTATTAAAAAATTTTTTTTTTCAATTTTTACCGTTTATATATTACATTAATAATATGTAATTATTATTATTCAAAATTATAAATAATAATTTATTTTATTAATGATTTATATAAGTGTGTTAACTAAAGAATATATATAAAAACCTTGTCATAGTTCTTGTCCTCAACAAGGTTGAAGTTTATTGTAATTTATTTTTAACTTTTTCGAGTGCAATCTTCAGAAATTAAGTGTTAAATATTTTATATTTTTAACATATATATATATATAGTTGAAATAGTTATAAATAGTATCTATAACCTAGAGATTGAAATAAATAAGCTCTTCAAGGTGAATGCTCGACTTTGCATTGTTCTTAACTTTTCTTGTCTTTTATATATATATATATATATATATATATATGAACTTATATATATGAACTTTCGAGTTTATTCATAGTAACTTACAGTCTATTTGAGGCAAAAAAAAGAAAATATAACTCATTGTTATCCATTCTGATTTTAACGCTTTAGATTTAGAAAATTCCGAAAATATATATGCACACAAAAATTTTATTCTTTTTCTATCTAATGAAAATCTTTATATAGAAACAATAACACATATTGTTATAACCACACAGAAAATTAAAAGGCATTAAAATCAGCTGCAACGCTTCTTATTTTAATCCAATTTTGTTTATTTTAATCCATTTTGGTATTAAAATAAGAAAAATTGTATTAAAATAATAAGCGTTGCAGCTTATTTTAATACCAAAATGGATTAAAATAAGCAAAATTGGATTAAAATAAGAAGCGTTGCAGCTTATTTTAATGCCTTTTAATTTTCTGTGATAATATGAAATAATTTTTAATTTTTTTGTTATATATTTTAAAAATTGAAAAAAAAAAAATTTCATTTTTAGTTACTGTATCCACCAATGAGAAATCTCTTTATACCAGTTTTTCTGAATTGTTGGCTGGCGAAACATTCATTGGAAAATATGTTCGTAAGTACAATTAAAAATTAATTTTTATTGTATGGAAAATTCTTTCTTTCAATAACTTTAAATAAACATAAAATTAATATTTTACTTCTTCCTCTTATTATTATTATATTAATACTATCATTACTTTTATTATTATTATTATAATTTGTTTATTACTATTATTATTATTTCATATTTTGTATTATTTAATGTCTGACTAAAACTAGTTTTTTTCTACTTATTATTATTTATATAAATATATGTTATTAAATAGATTTATAAGAAAATTTTTTTTTTAATGTTTTAGAACGATTTACATCGAGCAATGCAAAAATCTCAGTCAGCTCTAAGTCAACAGCTAATGATTCTTAGCGCCACGTTATTGTGCCTTGTTTTCACCAGGTATGTTCAAAATAAATAAATTTCTTTTATTTTGTTTAAAAAATAATTTTTTTTTTTTATATAAATTAGAAAATAAATTATCTTCTAATTTTAAAAAGAATATATTTTACATATATATATATATCTACATTGAATGCAAAACTCCTGCTATTAATATTATAAAATGTTTATTATTTTATCGTTGACAATATATATATATATATACATACGTGAAATAATTAAAAAGTGATATTGTATTTTTTTTCTTTCTTTTTTTTTTTTTTTTTAATTTCACAGTCAAGCAAAACTAGTTTATTGTGTGAATTTCAGAATGTGCGACACCCTGAAGTTATAGTTTGGTGCATGGTTGTTACACATTTATGTTCGTTGTTTCGACAAAAGCTCTCTCTCTCTCTCTCTCTTTGTTGGGGTCGAGTAAACGTTTAAGCACAAGCTTCAACTGCCGAATAGATTGTATATCTGCGACCCACGGCACCAGAATGCACAATATTGCATTCAACAAACTTTCAAATAAATGCCCCCAACGCTGTTTTGAAAGTTTATATTTGTCTGACCAGCAGGTGAAAGCGATCAATATCTATTTCATATGTTATTGCTAGATATTCACCATATGTGGCCGCATCCTTCAATTTCCGGATAAATTCATACCCCCCCCCCCCTTCTCCTTTAGGTTTAAGAATTATTTCATTCAAAAAAATTATTAACACAATTATATATCTTGTGTAAAAAAACTTTCTAAATCTGAATTAGTAAAAAAGTTTACTAATTTGAATTAGTAAGTCACTTTTTGCTTCTGAATTAGTAAAATTTTACTAATCATTAGTAACTTTAACTAATAATTAGTAAAATTTAACTAATTATAAAGCAAAAAGTGAGTCACTAATTTAAATTAGTAAACATTTTTACTAATTCAGATTTAGAGAGTAAGGAGCAAATTTTCAAAAATAAGAACAAAATTTTAAACATTTTAACCAAAATAATAATCATTTTTTTTTTAAAACTCACATTTTTTGATATAATTTATTATATAATTAAAATATATTTTAATAATTAAAAATTTTATATTTTAAAATATATACACAGAAAATTAAAAGGCATTAAAATAAGCTGCAACGCTTATTATTATAATCCAATTTTACTTATTTTAATACCAAAATGGATTAAAATAAGCAAAATTGAATTAAAATAAAAACCGTTGCAGCTTATTTTAATGCCTTTTAATTTTCTGTGTATATATATATATATATATATATATATATAAAACATAGACAAAATTATTTAAATATATATTTTTTATTCGTTTGGTAAAAGGAGAAAAAGGGTAATTTTGAAAATCTCATGAAGACAGGTTAAAGAGTCTTCAGAGAGATTTAAAGATTGATAAAAGTAAAAAATGAATATTTTCTTAAAAGAATCCATGAAAAATTGTTTCCTAAGAAAGATATAATTTATATAATCAGTTTATAGCGACTACCACTTTGGTTCTTGTCTCGTATATCTGTATTTTATATCACAATCTTTTTGACATCGTTTCTTTAAGTTACCTATTATACGATTTATATAAATTTCAATTTTTTTTCCCCCTTGACAATTCATTCTTCCTAGAAACAAAATTGTAATTTTTTATATATATATTTATTTCTCACAATTTTTTCTTATATTTTAAATTTCAAAATTAATAAAATGAAAATTTCCATCGAAAAATGTTTTAAATAAAAACATATTTATTTCTTTATCCAGCTAAAATAACAAAGAAGAAATACTTTTTTCAGAAAAAATATATTATACTTTTTCTAATAATTGGAAAATAATTTTTTTTTTTCGAATTACAAATACTTATTTATAAACACGATTGAAATCCAAATGCTCGTTATTTATTCTAGTTAATTATTAAAAAAAAAAAAAAAAAATCGTTCAATATGTGGACATTAATGGCAATTATATATGCTCAACTATTTTTTTTCTCCAACACAAAAAAGTAATAAACGATTTTTTATGGGTTATTGGTAAGATAATGCTTTTTTAATAATTTGTCCTTTTTTCTATTTAGGGTAAGACCAACTTTTATTACATCATTTAAATTATACCTCCTGTCTGACTAAGTGAGAGAGTTTTATCTACTGAAAATCAAAAAAATTTCATAATTTTTTATATCTAACTAAATCAAGTTTCTCTATTCAAGTAAAAAAATTTTCTATTTAAAAATCTCTACTTTTAAATTCTAATTTTCTCATGTCTGACTAAATCGTGTTTTTTCTACTTAGAGAAATATTTCAATTTTCCCTTCAAATTAAATTTTTTTCTACCTAAGTAAAAATGTCTGACTACAAAAGACTTTTCTACTTAAAAATTCTAATTTTCTCATATGTCTGACTAAATCGTGTTTTTTTCTAATTTTGTAAAATAATTTCATTTCATCTTTAAATCAAGTTTTTTTTCTACTTGGCTAAAAAATAATTTATCTCTAGTTATTTTTTTCTACTACTAAAATTCATCATCGATTTATTATTAAAATACTAAAATAAAAAAAAATAGTAGCGCAACTTTCTTTTTTTTTTTTTCATTTAGGAGAATAAAAATGTATAATTGATATTAAAATAAAAAGAGTTTCTAGAAAAATTAGAAAACATTAGAATATTAAATTCTTTTGAAAGGATGTGTCCAATTATAAAAGGTTAGCTGAGATTTGATTTGATATATTCCAAGGAGGGTTTTCTAAGGATTTCTACTATTACGGAAAGGTGAACCTTTTTTGAATTGAAAATAAAATCTGCATCTTTCCAATTGGAAGTCAGTCACCGTGAAGTGAACTCAAGGGGCTTGGTATCATCGATGTTTGTATATATATATATATATACATTTTCTCTGAATAATCCTGATTTTAAAACGTTGGATTCAGTCAGTGTAACATTCAAATATCAAGAGTCGCAACAAATTTAAAAAAAAAAAAATTTTTTTTTTTATTAATTCATACATCAAAAGGTTGACTTTTAACTCTTTTCCACTTCAATAATAAAAATACATGTTTACATTCATCATTGATTTTCGATAGCTCATTAAAAGAAAATATATAAGTTTTATGTAATAAAATAAAAAAAATTCTACTTTTGTTATATTATAATACAGAATAAAAAAAAAATTATAAATTTTTTGATGCGAAATTTAATATATAAATAAAGTGTTAATTAATTATTTATACATCAGTCAATTGTACTTGGACAGTTGAGTGTTGATTTAATGATGAATATTTACATTTGTTTTGTAAATTACTGGAATTCATTTGAACAGTAATTGTTCAGCAATGAACTATTTTGTAGAATATTAAATGAACGAATCAATCAGCAACGTTATCTATAAAGCAATTAAAATTTCCCTAATTCACAAATAAATTCAAAATTTTATTTTTCAAAAAATAAAGTAAATAATAATTTTACATTTTTCATTACAATAATAACAATAATATAATAACTGTTATTATTATTGTTATGTGTTATGAAAACAATAGTCCCACAAAATACGAGATGAAAAATTTCAAAATTCTCTTCTCCCATTTGCAATTGAGAAATAAAAAAAAAAAAAAATTCTCACTTTCTTTCATAAAAAAAATAAAACAGAAAAACTTCAGTTTGTGTTTAGAGTTTATTGATCGGTTGAAATCATAAATTATTATCTATCACTTTAACAACGCGCTCTTTGTCCTTGTAACTATAACATACTGTGAAATTAAGATTCAATTAAAAGCTCATTATTTATTTCTATTATCACTTCTTTAAATTATTCTATATAATATTTATCTTTTTCTTTTTTTGTAAAATTTTTATTTTTCTCGTTTTTTTTTTTTAAATTTTTTACATTCATCATTTCATTCAACAATTTTTATTAATAATACAATTTATTTATTTTTAGCATATTATATTATTTTACATAGTAATAATACTAATAATGAATAAAAAATAATTTCTTTTATTTTTAAATTCAGAAAATTATTTTTTTTTTGTCATAATTATTATTGATTTATTTCTAACGTAGCATTTTTAAGAGATAAAACAGTGTTTAAATAATAAATAATGATATATAAATATATAGACATCTCGATTCGTATTTGAAGTATTTTTATATACTCATTTAACAAGTTATAAGCTTGAATATCTCATTTATAGGTAATCGTGCCACTATATATATATATATATATATATTTTACGATTATTTTTCACGATAATCGTAAATCGTTTTTCTTCTTGCTATAACTTACAACTTTTTACTATTGAAATTTTAACAATTTTAAATATTATATTTTTATTTAATTATTTATTTTTATAAATATTACAATTGAGTCGAAAAAAAAATTACTTTTAAAACTCGAATGAAATTTAAATATCAAATTTTTCCATTTCGAATTAAATACGCAGAATGCATAATGTATATATGCAAGCAGAGATGCATATAAACTTTACAAAAAATGTTTGACGAGATTTGATATTAAACCTTTGATGCAATTTTCAAAATTTTTTTTACAAAATTCAAACATTTATTATGTGACATCATTAAAAATATTATTCAACATTTTTGATAAAAAAGAAAAATTGAATTAAATTATTAAAAAAAAATTATATTTTTCATATTACAGATAAATAAATGAAAGTATATTTATTCAAAGAAAATAAAAATTAAATAAAAAACAAAACTAGTAAAAAAAAACATTTCAATAAATAAAATTAAAGTGAGAAAAAAATAATCGAATTTCGCTCTAGACATTTTATAAATATTTAAATAACGACAATTTACAGACGAACGAAACAAAAAAGAAAAATAAAATATATATATTATTCTCTCGCATGAATTTAACAAAAATTCTCTTATATAATCTTTTTTTTGGTTTGCTAAAGAATTTTCTATTTTAACTTCCGTACTAGAGAGATAAAATTTTTTTTTAACATTATTAAACTAAAAAAGCTCTTAAACTGATGAAATTTAAAATAATAACGAAATAATTTTTTTTTATAAAAGTTGAATCAATGTTCTTTCATAAAAAAAAAAAATTTCTCTCTCTCTTTCACTTATTAATAGGTCAGTTTAATTTTAATTCATCCATAGGGGTCTTTTTCTTATTTCTCTCGTTTCCAATTAGGAAGTAAAATTTTAAAATGTTAGACACGTTTGAAGTATTCCCGTCTGTACTTTATTTTAAACGCGACATATTCTCTTGAGAAATTCTAATACTGTTACCAGTTCTCTTATATTTTAAAGTATATAATTTTTTTGTTAACATTTTTTTTTTTTCTCAAGAAAAAGTAGTAAAAAATTTTGCATTTCAAAAATAATTTGATTAATAAATTTTTTAAAAAACTATTTTTTCTTCTATTTTTAAAAAAATATAAATTTAATATTTATAAAGTAGAAAAAAAAGGAATTGTTTATTAATTCTAATAACTGTCATTATTGATCATCTATAGTTTGTTTGAAATCAATTAAATAACTACGCATTCGTTGAAGTTTAAACGCAATTATTATACAGTCGTAACTTAATAATTGAACATCTATACACGCTCTGAATTAATTATAACTTGCACTATTGAAAGAAATTGATTAATATAAATAAATCAACTTTTTACTAAATTTAGAGCAAAATTTTTTCATTTTTAAAAAAAAGGAATAAAATTCTAAAAATTGTTTAAAAAAAAAAAAAATTAATTGCAATGGAAAAATGCAAAAAAAAAAATAAATTTTTGAGTATAATAAAAAAAAAGAAATCTGACCCCCCCGAGTATTTCCGGAAAAGAAAAATAAAGCAATAAGCATCTTTATTGTTAAAAATGGTCACGCATATAATGGTCAATGGTCGCGCTGTGAAGTGAAAGGGGTAGAATTTCGCTGTAAAAAGTAATCTCGTGCAAAGAAAGGAAAACTCAACCCCACGTTTATGAAGCTTATGCCGCAAAACAACGCTGTTAACGAAGGTCCTGACGTAAAAACATCCTAGACACATACAACCAAACATATAGAAAAGTATAACGACCTGAGAGTCTCACGTAAATCCAGAATTAACGCCTTTACACCTTAACCCATTCGCACATTTTCCACTATTTTTTTTTTCTTTTTTGCCCACAGAAAAATAAATGAAAACCCATTTTTTTTTTTTGAAACAAATGATAAATATATATTTGTCATTTATAATTAACAGATATGAATAGAATTAATTATCCCCTGGTAATAATCGATAATTGACCTTTCAACTTTTTCCCCTTCATTATTTATTTATGGAACAGAAAAAAAAAATTTGTTTCTCTAAAAAAATTGGTCCCTTTATTTTTTTTTTTTTTTATTTACAATATTTATATTTATTAATTTTTTGTTTATTTTCCTTTTTTACATGTAGTTACTTTTTTTATTTATTTATAAAAATATAAATTACATGTTTTTTCAATAGTTAAGATTAAATTTTACTTAATCTTGTGTTTGACTAAACTAGATTTCTCTATAAATATTTAGGCAAAAAAAAAAAAAAATCAATTGTTTATTAATAATTTAATTTATAAATAATTTTTATATATAATTTTTTTTTTCACTAGATTAAAATGATTTATATATTCGAAAAAGAGAAAATTATATTTAAGTAGATAAAACCCAGTTTAGTCAGACATGAGATAAGTAAACTTCAATCGTAAGTAGAGAAAATCTTATTATAGTCAGACAGGAGATAAAAATTAAATCCAATTTCAATTAGACAAAACCTAATTTAATCGATCGTTATAAAAGCAGTGTAATTTTTATTTAAGTGAAAAAATTCCGATTTAATCAAACATAAGGAAAATGTATAATTTTTAAAGTTAAAATTTAAATTAGAGAATTTTTATTTTACAGTTATAGAAAAAACTGGTTTTAATCAGACAATAAATACAAATAATACAAAATATGACATAATAATAATAAAAAAAATAGTTATTTTATTATTATTATTATTATTATTATTATTATCATATTAATAATAATAATAATAATAATAAAAGATTTTGTCATTGATACAATAAATAAAAACAATTTGAAAAAAAAATCGAATTTCTTGTGTAATAGACGACATAAAAAAAAATATAAAATCTAATATATATTGGATATTTTTTCTGAAATTTCGAGAGAATAAAAATTGATAAGAATTTTAAATCCCTCAACGTCAACGTTGTCTCACGAGCGTAAACTTTGTCACGTACAATTTCACTCAGGCCGGCCACCTATGCAAATCCAACATTTACTAGTCGTTTTAATTAATGCTGCCTTGTTATAGTCTACTGGGCGCTTTCCTCTCACTTTTAGAATAAGTAAATATACACGGAAAATGTGCAAAGACAAAAAAAAACGCATGCCTAGTGTAACAGAAAAAGGAAGAAGGAAAATAATTTTTTTTTTTTTTTTTTTTTTTTGTGAAAAAAACGAATGGTGTACAAATAGCGTTGATATAAAATGGGGCCACATGCATAATGGATGTAACTTTTAAATTCTTGCCGTGTTACCATAGACCGCACGTTTGTGTGTTCTTTTCTGACGAAAATCCATCCTCCATTAATCAAAATATATATAATACACGTTGCTTATGAAAATTTTCTATTCATCATTTTTTTTTTCCCCCTTTTTTTTGCATTCATGATAATTTTATATATTTGTTGTTTTTTTTTTTTTTATTTTACTCAATTATTTTTAGGTGAATTTAAATTTAGGTAAATAGTGAAATTTTTATTTAAAAGGTTTTATTTATAATTTATCGAATTTTTTCATTTTGATTTTTATCATTTTTGAAGAAAATGGTTTTTTTTTTTATTATTATTGCAATCGCAGAATTTTTTTTAAATTATAAATTATATTTTATTCTCTAAATTTTTAATTATATAGTCTTGACTTTCAAAGAGGCACTCACAATTCACCTTATATAATTGTCCCTAAAAATATATTTCAGTCCATTAAAGCTTTTACCATAATTAGGATAATAGACTTTAACAAGAAACTACTAAGTTGATTAAGCATAAAATTTCATGTGCATAAATTCATATATGACCTTTTTAGAAATATATATACTTTTTCTCAACTTTTTTTTTTACCAAAATGAAATTTATTCATATATTAAAATAATTAGAATTCACTAATTTGAGAAGAAAGTATTATAATAATTTTTTAAAAATTATTTTAGCCAATAATTATTTTAATGACAAAATCACATTTTCTTCAATTACATTAACATTTATTTAAGTTACATTTTTATTATTGTAAAAAAAAAATAGAAAAATTCTACCAAATCAACGAAAAAAAAAATTAATACTAAAATAAATTTTTTTTATTTATTTATTTTTTTTTTTTTTTGTTTCAGCGTCTGTGGAATACAACATTTTCAGAGGGCAGGACACAGACACCTAAACCTCTTTCAAAGCACATATTATGTCGTTGTAACGTTTTCCACGGTCGGATACGGAGATTTCGTGCCTGACATTTGGCCTTCTCAACTCTACATGGTCATTATGATCTGCGTAGCGCTTATAGTTCTTCCAACGCAAGTGAGTAACGATAAATTTTAATCTGCCACTGATTAAAAAAAAAAACATATATAATTTTTTTTTTTTTAAATATAATTTATTTCAATTAAATCCTAAGTATACCAAAAAAGTATTACCTGGAGTGAAACTTATCTCTGTTACAGTTAAAGCTTTCTTTTCGTACACTGAAAAAAAAAATTTATTTGGATCAAATAAAAAGTATTTGATCCAAATACATATCATTTACTTGTCTATTATCCAATAAATATGTATTTGAATCAAATACACATTTACTAAACCTAAGTATTTTATTTTATCGTATCAAATAAATAGTTATTTGAATCAAATACAAAATATTCAAATCAAATATAAATGGAATATTCAAAGCTAATAAATAATTATTTAAATCAATTATGAAAATTATTTCATTCAATACTGCATGTGTATTAGTATTAAATAATTTAGTTTACTTGAATCCATTAAATTTATTGTATCAAATACTTTTTATTTGTTTCAATAAAACAAAATATTTGAGTGAAATAAATAAATTAATTGTTTCAAGTAAATCATTATTATCGTTTCAAATAAATATTTAATGGATTGAAATATTTTTTTATTTGTCTTAATGAAATAGTATATTAGGATTAAATAATGAATTATTTGTATTAAATAATTCAGTTTATTTAAATCAATTACATAAATTTATTGTGTCAAATACTTTTTATTTGTATCAAATAAACTAAATATTTGAGTTAAATAAATAAATGAATAGTTTCAAGTAACTCATTATTTATATTAAATAAATTTATTTATTTAATTCAATTAATTATTTAATTGAACCAAATACGATTTAATTGGTTCAAATAAATGCGATTCAATTAATTCAAGTTATTTGAATCAAATACATATTTTTTTCGATCCAAATAAAAAGTTATTGAACCAATTAAATATTTTTCAAATAATTTGAAGTATTTGAATCAAATAAATTTTTTTTTCAGTGTATAGAATAAATTACAAAACTGCCAGTACTCGGCCAGTACTGAACCAGTAGTGGTTACCAATACTGGTGCCAAATGTGGTAGCCAATACTGGTAAAATGTTATCATCCCAAAGTTACACCAACTTTTACCAGTACTGCCAGTACTTTGCCAGTACTGCGCCAGTACTGCGCCATTAGTAAATTTTTGATTGGGAATATATGTTTGTCTCAGTGATAAAAAAAAAAATTATTAATAAAATAAAAAACAAATAAATCTAAAAAAATAATTAATATATATATTTATCAATTATTTGAAAGTTTGAACCAAATAATTCTTATTTTTAAAACGATTTATATCGTATATATAATAATAAAAGGATGAATAAAAAAAAGTCCCTTTTTTTATGTGAATGAGATTTATTTTTTTTTTTTTCTTCTTCGTATCGATGCTTCAGAACCGTTACTAATTCTAAAGATGCAATAAATTTTCCCAGTGGATTATTTTCCTGTATATGCATCATTTTCCTAGCTCTGGTGTTAGCACCATTGTTGTTTTATAGGTTTTTTATGATGTCTCTCGTAAAGCTACAAAAGTGTCCTCTTCCATTCTTGTTTTTTTTTTTTTTTTTTTTTTTTTTATGAAAGGTGAACGATTTCGCATTTACACATAAAACTACTCTTTCTCCAAATATCATTTTTAAATAAAGAAAAACCTATTTTAAAAATTAAAAATAATTTTAATTTAATTAAATGAAGAAAATTTTAAAAACTGTAAATTTTTTAACTATACATGAAGATTATGATAGGATTGATGTTGATTTTGACCCTTATATCTGACAAGTGCACTTGGATGGGTTCGAGAATTCGAGAACTGTCAACTTTGACAGATAATATTAGGCTCGATGGTTGTCGGTTCAATTTGGCTGTCAAATCACATACCACTTGTCAGACGCTTGAAATGACTAGGAAGGTTCGCCCGTGGCATTGTTACCTGATAAATCATGAATATGATATATCTACAAACCCTTCACATTTACTATATATATGGAAATAAAATTTTTCAAATAAATTTTTAAAACTAAAAACCAAATTTTAATTTTTCCTCTATTATCCTGTGTGAGAATTTCAAAAAAAAAAAAAATTGCACTTTGACATTAAAATTATGAAGCGTGTACTTTTCTGGATTCAAGAGTGAAAACAATATTAAGGAATATATATATATATATATATATATATATACATAATGAGAGGTATTTCACGACTCATGAAATTCATCGTTATTTCATTGCAGTTTGAGCAGTTGGCCTTTACGTGGATGGAGAGACAGAAGCTGGGTGGTTCCTATTCGTCTCATAGAGCACAAAATGAAAAGCACGTTGTCGTGTGCAGCACAACCTTACAAGCAGATACCATTATGGATTTTCTTAATGAATTTTACGCTCATCCTTTGCTTCAGGTATATTAGAAAATCACTCTATTTTCCAGAAATATGTATATTAAATGAAAATACTCTATTTTAGAGTATATTACGAAAATTTTCAACATTTATTTTAATGATTCTATTTTCTATTTTAAATGAACAATTTATTTACGAGAATATTGCTCTCATTCAATATTTTTATACTAAATTTAAATAATCATTTCTCGCATCAACGTTAAAATTGTAAAAAATAGAATTCAATTTAAAAAAAAACAATTGATTTTATCAAAGATTTTAATTTTTAAATACTATTTGCTAATTATCGGAAACAATTTAGTTATTTTAATAATTTTTCTAACAATTTTTGAGGACTGTATGTACTCTCTAAATCTAAATTAGTAAAAATGTTTACTAATTTAAACTAGTTTTTTTTGCTTTTGAATTAGTAAAACTTTACTAATTATTAGTAACTTTTACTAACAATTAGTAAAATTTAACTAATTCCAAAGCAAAAAAAAACTAGTACTTAAATTAGTAAACATTTTTACTAATTCAAATTTAGAGAGTAGAAAAAATTATGAAAATGATAATTTAATTTATTTCTATCTTTCAAAAAATAAAAAAAAAAAAAAAGGACTATTACGTGGTTCTATTGTCGCCAATGGAATTGGATACGACGATGAGAATGATTCTTCAAGTGCCGATTTGGGCTCAACGGGTGATTTACATTCAGGGCTCGTGCCTGAAAGATGGTGATCTCGCGAGAGCTAGGATGAATGAGGCTGAGGCCTGTTTTATCCTTGCTGCGCGAAATTATGCGGACAAAGCTGCCGCTGATGAACACACCATCCTCAGGTAAATTTATTGCAAAGAAAAATGAAAAAAAAATTTTTTTATTTTATTTTTTATTTCAAAATTTTTTTAAAAAAATTATAACTTATAACGAAATAAAAAGAAAAAATAGAATTAAAACGAAATTATTTTCTTTTTTAACATCTGTTTAAAAAAAAAAAATGATTTATGCAAATTTTTGCAAAAAAAAAAACAGGTCCTGGGCCGTGAAAGATTTTGCACCCGATGTACCACAATACGTTCAAATCTTCCGTCCAGAGAATAAGCTCCATGTGAAATTCGCCGAACACGTCGTTTGTGAAGACGAATTTAAATATGCCCTTTTGGCGAATAATTGCACGTGTCCTGGAGCATCAACTCTGGTTACTTTATTACTTCACACATCACGAGGACAGTGAGTTGAAAAAAATTTCAATTTTTGGACAAAAAAAAAAATTTTTTCACCTAAATATATAGTAAAATTGGAATTAAAAAAAAAAAGATTTGTTTTTTTTTATATATAATCGTTTGCTTTCTGATTGGTCACAAACAGGGAAGGCCAACAGTCACAAGAAGAGTGGCACAGGCTTTACGGAAAATGCTCGGGCAACGAGATTTATCACATAATTCTAGGGGATTCACGATTTTTCGGTGAATACGAAGGAAAGTCGTTTACGTACGCCTCGTTTCACAGTCACAGAAAATATGGAGTTGCCTTGGTTGCAGTTAGACCGGCAGAGCTGCCTGAATTCTACGAGGATACAATTCTTCTCAATCCTGGTAAGAGAGATTTTTGGATTAAACGATTTTTTCTTTTTTTTTTTTTCATCCAATCTTCATTATAAATTCAAAGAAATATTCACAAAAATTATTTTAACCTTTTTATATAACCATATATTTTTCTTAGAATCTTCTTTCATTGGTTTACATTTTTTTTTTTTAAATTATTTTTATGGAAAAAGAAAATCTCTTTTTTATTAACAATATTCTTAGTTTCAAAAAAAAAAAAGAAAAAAAAATTCAAAATGGAGTAACGAAATATATTGACACATGAAAAATGTCAAACACGAAAAGCTACTTTCATTTTGAAAATGTTTTATCATTTTATGGTTTCGTATCAGATGATATAGGCAAAAAAAAATGTTTAATCAATCTTTTTTTGTGTATCCAATTATTTTAGAAATTTTTTAAAAATAGAATTTCAATTATTTTTTAAAGGCAAGAAAATTTTTTTCAGAGAGAAAAATTGAATAGTTTTTTTCTTTTTTTTTTTGTATAGGTCCACGACATATCATGAAAAAAACAGACACCTGTTACTACATGAGTATAACGAAAGAGGAGAATTCTGCATTTGTAGTGGCAAATAATAATAATAATAATAATCAAACAACTGGTACAGAATTTTCGGGCGTTGCTGTTGAAACAAAACAACAGGATGCAGCATCAACAACAGATGCAAATCCAACAACATCAACATCAGCTGCAACAACAACAACAACAATGTCAACGACAACAACAACTGGAGGGAATGGTACAGCCTTGATGAGTAAAGATGTTGAAATGCACCGTCGATGTGAAAATAATATTAAAGAAACAACAAACAGGCAGGAGACCTGTAATAATAATAATAACAATAATAATAATTTCATAACTCCCAGGGCTAGTTTGCCCCCTGTTATATTGCAGGTCCCCCTTAGCACGTCCACACTCCAACATCACAACTTACTCGCATCCGATGTCCACCGTGAGTGTTGCATGCGCCTTGCTTTTTTCTTCTAATTTTTTTTTTTTTTTAATTATTTCCAACACAGAAAATTAAAAGGCATTAAAATAAGCTGCAACGCTTATTATTTTAATTCATTTTGGTATCAAAATAAGCAAAATTGAATTAAAATAATAAGCGTTTGTAGCTTATTTTAATGACATTTAATTTTCTGTGAATTTTTTTTTATAATACTTACGGGTAGACTGAATTTGAGAACAATTTTAATTTTTACATTATTATATATATATATATAATATAAAAATTTTATATTATACAAAAATATAAAACTTTTTATGGACAAATCCTATTGAGAATAATTATATATATGTAACTTATGCAACAAAGGAATAATTTTTTAAAACATTGGAAAAGTTAATCAAAAATGGTACATTTTTACAGAAGACTAAATTCTTTTTTTCTTTCTCAAATAGTTTTTAATTAAAAATCGCTTGAGGCTATTTGTATATATATATATATATACTAATAATGATACACTTTAGAAATGTTCAGTCTGATATTCTTGCATTTGAACTAGCTTTATTGTTTGCTTTTTGAAATTGTTAAGAAAAAAAGAAATAAAAAACTATAATGATCCAAAAGATTTAATATAAAATTTATTTTTCAATTTATTACAAAATTTTAATTTACAAAAATTGTTATTAATTAAAAATTATATATATATATATACTTTTTTCAAAAATTATTTTTTTACATTAGATGTCTTCTTTTTGGAAAATATTAATCCATATTAGTCATATTTTCAGCTATGCTTACATTTTATTTTTTTTTATAAAAACTAAAATATAAGAGGAGAAATAATTTATTTTTATATAGGTAAAATAGTAAAAGGTATTGAATTAAAAATTCTATTTTTTATTGCACAATTGTGAGCTTTAATTGTTTTTTGAAGCACAATTTTTCCTTTTTTTAATTTTTTTTAAAAATATTTACGCCTAAAATGATATAAAATATATGAAAAAAATTAGTATAAAATAAATTCTAAAAATTAAATTTAAAAAAATAAATAAAAAATTTTTTAAATAAAACGTCTAATATATATGAAAAGAAATTAAAATGTCTTTCTCTAAATTAATAACAATTTCTAAACTACTTTATAGGGGTTTTTAATTGAGTCTCATGAGAGTAAAATGGAGAACAATATTTGTTCTACTTGAAAAAAAAAGGAAACTAAATCGAATATTTTAATATGTTAAATAAAATTATATATAAATAGTGTGTGTTCAAAGGTAACTGTGAAGCAGAAATCAGGCTGTGGTATTACGAATCCCTGAATGGCAACCGCATTAAACCGTAGTTTTCCCCCAGTGTCCCTTTCCCAGTTGGTTTATCTTTATATATGCTACTGCTTTACGTGTTCGATGTATTCGTATATATATATATATACACACTAACATTTATTTCACAATTCACATTCATTTCCATGACCTATACACACAAGTTAAATATAAAATAAAGGACCAAAAATATTACTCAAAAATAATTTTTTTTTATTTTCAATTATATAATTATTATATTTTATCGAGAATCAAAATAATTTCATAGTATAAGGTTAATAAACCTGACAAATATTAAAAAACAAAAATTTATTGTAAATAAAAAAAATTTTATTTACTAATTTTTTTTGGAAAAAAAATTTTTTAATCGTAGAATCTTGAAAAAAAAGAGACAAAAATCGGAATGTTTGAAACAATAATCTAAACTTCCTATCAAAACTCAATTTTTCAGCACCGTGATTACAATAAAAAAAAAATCATATTTCTCTAACAATTTTTTTTTTTTTTAAACATAGATTAATTAATTCTATTTTAGTGTTTGTTGAATTTTTTAAAAATTCCATTCAATATTAAAATGACAATTTTTTTTTAAAAACTCAATTTTTGCGAGAATTTTTTTATTTGAAATAATTTGTAATATTTCAGCAACATATCTCGATACCGGAGCAATAGGTGACTCAAGACAATGTCTAAAGGACGCAGGATCCTCGCCACAAACACCAATTACAACAAATCATTTGGACGTTCCAAGATCCATGGATCCAAATCCAAATCTTCTTAGTCCAGAAATTTTAACACAAAGAAGAGGTATATTAGAAATAAATATAATTTTTTTAAAAATAAAATTTTTATTAAATTATAAAAATTAAAATTCAAAAGAATAATTTATTATAATAAAGAACACAAGAAAAATATTAAAAAAAAAAAATATATGATAACAGTGACCATATATTATTGATATAATGTAATACACATTATATGTACTAAAATTTAATTAAAATTTCAATTTTCATATTCAAAATGATATATATTTCATGAAAGAGATACTATCTCATATCAGAAAATTAAATTAGTATCAAATTACGTTAAATCACATATTAAAGCTGAGAGCATCAATCATCACTTTTTAACCAGATAACAGCTCATCCTTCAACGACACCCAAGTTACACAATAAATATATTAATCGTACAAAATCCACAAAAAAAAAAAAAGCAAATTAATTGAAAACAAAATTTTTTTTTCAATGATTTTAATTCAATTCGAAAAAATAAATCATATAAAAAATTTTAATATTCAAATATTAATATTTAATAATAAATATAAAAAACTAATATATGTTAATATTTGATAAAAAAAAATATTTAAAACTGCAAAAATAATAATTAATTCATTATTTATTTATCGGAATATTGCTTCTAATTGCTTACTATTTTTTTTTTTTTTTTTTTTTTTTTTAATTTTAACAAATCGATAAAAATAAAATATTTTCAGGTAGTAGAAGACCGAGTATTTTACCTGTACCCGATATGTTAACAAGTTCGACGTTAAATTTACCTGGTCAAGAATCATTGGATCACGAAGGTGATGAATCGGAAGATGAATTAGACGACGATGTTCCCTGGAGATCTCCTAGTGAAAAGATAGCGTAAGTAATTTTCAATTTTTTTTCTCATCATCTCCTTTTTTTTTTTTTTTTACATATTCACACAATTATTTTTTCCAAATTACAAAAAATTAATTAAAATATATAATTTTAATGTTTTTTTAAAATATTTTTTAATTTTAAATAAATAATTTTAGTTCAGTTTATTTTTTATCAAAATATTTTACGTAAATTATTTTTTTTTATCTAATGTTATAGATAAGTAGATAAACTGAAGTTGTAAATCCATTTTACAGGCAATTAAGATTTTTATCTTATATTGTCAATTTCATAATATCGACGTGAATTGATGTGTGCAGTGAAAATATATATATAAAAAAAAGAAAGAAAATTTTAAACAATATTTTCGCACGCAAAAAATATATCACTTGCATGATTCGTATTTTATATATATATATATGTATATATGCACTGATTGTAGATATTCTTTTTGAGGTCTTGGAAAATTTGAAAAAGTTTTTTATTTTTTAAAGGAAAACTAAAAAAAAAATTGATATTTTTCAATAAGAAATAAAATTTAAAAATTATTGCAAATTATGAGTATTTAAAGATTACATAGATTTTAAAATACTCTCGTGAGTACATTATATTGTTAAATAAAAGCCAAAATAATAAAACAAGATAAACGTTTCAAATAAAAAAAAAAAAAAAAAAAAAAACTAGTATAAAACTCGTTAAAAGAAAAGTCTATATATAGAGAGAGAATTCCTTGAGTCTCAAGAACATCTAAGTTTATGATACAATCGTTAAAATCCAGCAGACGTCTGACCCTGATATCTTTAGCTAAATACATATATATATATATATATGTTACCGGCAAAGTATGAAATCCAGGCATTTTATAAAATACCTAGGCTTTATATGAAATACCTGACCATTTTAGGCAATGTATAAAATGAACTCATTATTTCATACATTGCCTAGGTAATTTATAAAATTCCTAGGTATTTTATAAAATACCTATTGCGCATACGGTAAAGTATATAATCTTTCTATATTCTTGTGATATGATATTTATGTATATATATTTTTTTATTTGAGCCTTTATTTAGACGGAATTGTATTTCATTTTGAAAATAGTGAATAAAGTTTTATCTAATTGCTATTTAATTTAACAGTTTTCGATTATTTGCTTCTAATAATATTTATCTTATATCCACATTAAGTAATAGTTATAGGAGCTCTAACAATTAGCTTTATTAAATGTTAAACAGAAAATCAAAATTTTTGAATTTGGTCAGTTCCTTTGTATATTCTGAAGTGAACAGACAAAAATTCTTATTAGAAATGAGCGCGGAAATAGAAAGTGTTTTAGTGACAAGGGATAGATTTTATTCTGCATTATCTGAAGTTAAAAAATCAATGGACGGTCGCTACCCAACAATCCTTAGGAACTGGACAAGGATTTGTTAAATGCTCTTGTAAAAAAAAATGTAAAAGCAACAGATGTTTATGTGTAAGAAATAAGGTTCAGTGTCAATCAAAATGTCATTCCAGTATGCCTTGTTGTAACAAATAATAATAATAGTAATAATAACAATAACTTATTTTGAATTGAAATAAACTATTCTTTACTTTGCCGAAAATGTAGTGGGCATTTTATATAATGCCTAGGCAATGGATAGAAAACCATTTTACTATGTACATTACCTGCATCGCCCAGGCAATCTATATAATGCCTAGGCATTTTATGGAATCCCTGATTTCATACTTTGACGGTAACATATATATATATATATATACATCCTCCAGAGAGAAGTAAAATTCTTTTACCTATAAAGCTTTTAATGGTATATTATATATTTATATTTAAAAAAACAAAAACAACGTTTCAATTTTCTAAATTTAATATATTATCATTATTTTTACAAATTCAATTAATTCAATATTATGCTTACACAGAAAAAAGCTGGTGTTAAAATAACACTTTGTTTTTCCTGTGTTTTAAAACTGAATTCAGCCTTGAAGTTTTCATTTCATTTTTCTTATACCCACAAGGACAAATTTTCTTTGCATGTCTAATATATCCTACCACACAAGATGAATATTTTAATATGCAAAAAAATTTAAGGGGTTCTTTTTCTTTCTTCAAAAAAAAAAAAGAAATGTTTTCTAAAATTAAAAAATTCAATTTTTCGTCAAATTTTATATACACTTGTTTCTTTATTTTAAATTTAAGTAAATTAAAAAAAAAAAAAGGAAAATATCATCCCTTAATGAATTTTGTACAATTTAAAAAAAAAAAATATTATTTAATTGCACTTTTGGAGGTATGTTATGCGCTCTAATGATTATTTTGTGAAATAGATGAGACGCTTATAATTCCCTGCAGTCAAATAAAATATCCCATGTGATCGTTTTGCATCCCTTCTCTCTCTCTCTCTCTCTGTTATGTCTCTGAAACCCATTTCCATAATATATGAGATTTTGCTCACGATCAATGTGCATATCCTCACAATGTCTCTCGATGCCTGTACTACCAACGTGACGTCGTTGCATTCAATGATGTCCTGCCTGACAATGTCACCCTGTAATCTCGTGGATGTTTTCGATGTCTCTTCCTTCCTGTAACACCTTTGTGCACTTCGTCTTGCTCTGCGCGCCACGTCTCGAACGACTTACTGCCTGCAGCTTTAAAGGGTAAGTCCCCCTATTTTTTTTTTTTTTTTTTTTTTTTCTTTACATTTTTCATTCAAAAAAAAAAAAAATCATGTTTCTTCCACTTCATTTTTTTTTTTGCTACACTTTATTTAGTTTAAAAAAATCAATTTCCAATATAAAATTTCTATTATTGTTCTTATTAATATTATTTAAAATTTTTTAATTTTATTTCTAAAAAAATACCCAAATTTTTCTAAGCAAAGGAAATATTTATTGTATCCAATTCACTTTGAATTTCATACAAACTCTTGCCCTTTGTTTCTGGTAAAAATGAAACAATTAACGGTAGGCCAAGAGAGCCTAATATTGCAAATATACTAAATGCTAAACAAGAATTTGTTTTATATTTTAATAATTCAAAAATATTTTGCACACTTAATGCCGTTATATAAATAAATGAAATACAAATTCCACATGCCATTGTTTTAACACGATTGGGAAATATTTCACCAGCTAAAATTGGTACAAGTGGAATGAGTCCAAAAAAATAAACAACATAATATGCTAATAAAAGTAAAATTGGTATCAACATTTCACCTTTCATTAAACTTTGACAATCTTGTTTCTGTATCAATTTGTTTAATGCCAATAAAAAACAACAAATTGCTGATCCAACGATAGAAATAATCAGTAGAATCTTACGACCAATTTTCTCAATTGCCAATAAACAAAAACAATCAGATAAAACATTTATCAATGATAAGATTGCATATTCGTAATGTACGACATAATGTTTGAGAATTTTTTCCAAATATTCATTCATTGCATAACTTCCCATCATTTGACTTAGGCACATTAATGGTAAAATTATAATCAACGATTTTTTTGCATTTTTGGGAAAAAAAATATTTTTAAATAAACTTGTTGTTTTTTTTTCCTTAACATATTCAGAATTAAAAAAACATTCCATTGATTTATAATCATTTTCAATTTCCAATACTGTTCTTCTACCACGTAAATTTTTTAACGTAATTTTAGCATCCAATACCTAATCAAAAAATAATTGATTAATTTTAAAAAATTTAATATAACTCTAATAATAATCTCACCTTTCCTATTTTAAAAAGAAAATACGGCGATTCCTCCATTAAGAAGAAAATTGAAAACATAAATGTCAATGGAATTATAACAATGACAAGTGCAAGTGTCGTGAGTTTTATATAAAGTGCCAAAAGTCCAACAATAAGTATTCCAAAATGAACAAAAAATGAATTAAAAGCACCGACAATTCCTCTATTTTCACGTGATGATATTTCACCTACATAGAGAACTGAAGTTGTCACATAAATACCAGTACCAAAGCCTGCAAATGTGGCTGCAAAAAAAAGAAACTAGAGAAAATTATACCATTTTTATTTATAATTATAATAATTTAAATGAAAAAAAAAAATTTCAAACAATTATTTTTTTTCTTTACCATTTTATTCACTGCTAATGCAAGACTTATCCAAAATATTGAACAAGCAAATGCAGAACAAAAAAATGATAAACGTCTTCCATAATTATCAGCTATTAAAATTGGTAAAAATGCACCAATACTTGCACCACCATTTATTATTGTTTGTAAATTTCCACTAGTGATAAATCCATAATTTTTATTTTTTTCAAATATATCAGTATCAATTGATGGATTTGGCCAACCAATTGTCAATCCCATGCAAATTGCACCCAAATTTACTGGAAATTTTTTTTTTTTTATTAATAATAATAGTAATTACAATAATAGTAATTAATTTATCAATTCTACTTAATAATATATTACTGTGTGCATGTTTAGTGTGTCAAATTGCTGATAACACATATATGATAATTTAAGTTTTTACTATGTCTTATTTTTATTTTTTCTAATATAAATGCATGATAATAAAGTTTTTTTTTTTTTCCTTATATTTAAATAAGTTACATTAAAGCACTCGCATTTATAAATTAATTAGATTTTATCTTAAAAGAATGATTAATTTTTTTAATTTAAAAAAAACTTCTTTAACGATAAAAGTTAATTAAATAAAATTTAATTAAAAATTTCAAGAAAATTTTTTTTGTTATAAATAGTAATTTTAAAAATTATTTAAAACTTTGTACTAAAATTTTCATATATATAAATTTCCATTTTCCATATATATCCTTTATAAAACGCATCATTTCACGAAATAAATTTGAAAATAATTAATTTCTAATATATCGAAATTTCTAATATGTAATATTTGTTTTTTAATGATAAAACAATGAAACTATAATAATTATTATTAATCACAATTAATACATACAAGATACAAGTGTCCTGTAAAATCGATTATTACTTATTTTAAAATCCTTCAGAAAGCACATATCGCACTTGAATAAAATTTATAAATTTTTATAAAAAAAAAAAGAATGCTCATTACTTCATATGCGAACCAGCATGTCAATAATAAACATTTCTTTGGTTTTAAGACCTATGTTTAGGGGCAACTATACATTAGTGATAAAAAAAAAAAAAAAAAAAAAAAAAAATGATAATTGGAAATGACTTCGTTTGTTGTTGTTATTCTCTTATCGCTTCTTCATTACGTTTTTACGAGAAATTCCTCATAAAATCGGTGACGTCTCCGAAATAACACCACTCGACACATTTTTTTTTTTTCAATTATAATTCTAAAAAAAAAAATGTTACAGAATCGTCAAAGGATTTCCGCCTGTCTCTCCTTTCATTGGAGTCTCACCAACTCTTTGTTATTTACTCAAGGAAAAAAAGCCACTTTGTTGCCTTCAGCTGGCTCAAGTAAGACACTCGACTTTTTTTTTTTTACAAAAAAAAAAAAAAAATGTCCTTAAAACAAAATTTATTTAATATTACCTAAAATAATTTATTTTTTATTAAATTATAAAATATTTTTTTCTTAACTTTTTATTTTGTCTTAAAGAAAAAATTTATTTTATAACATTTTCTTTGTTGAAGAAATAAATATTAAAAAAAAAAAATATAATTATTATTTGAAAATAATATGTATTTCTTTTAATTAAAATTAATAAATCACAAATTGTAAATTTTTTTTTTCAGGTTTGTGAGCATTGCAGTTATAGAAATGCTAAAGAATATAATTGGCAGAATAAAACAATTATTTTAGCCGCCGACTATGCGAGCAATGGAATCTATAATTTTATAATTCCATTAAGAGCCCACTTTAGGTATATATACTTAAGATTTATTGTATAAAGACAATTTATTAGCTAAATAATTATTCAACTTGTACTTAAAATATGTTTTTGATTGTGAAAAGAAAAATTTTTTTTTTTTCCTAAATAAATTCAAATATTGTGAAATATTGCGCATATTATTTTATGAGCAAATGAAATATTATCAAAAATTTTTTTTTTTTGTTGCAGAAAATAAAATTCTAAATGACAATCGTGTATCGAGATAATATATATATTTTTTTTTTAAATACAATAATAATTTGATGTATCGATTTCGTTGTAGGTCAAAAACATCTTTAAATCCCATCATACTCCTGCTGGAAAGGAGACCGGAAATTGCATTTCTGGATGCTATTTCCTATTTTCCTCTGATCTATTGGATGCTGGGCTCCATAGATTGCCTAGATGACCTTTTACGAGCTGGTATCACTTTAGCGGAAAATGTCGTGGTAGTCAACAAAGAACTCAGCAATTCTGCTGAGGAAGACACATTGGCAGATTGTAATACAATAGTTGCTGTGCAAACCATGTTCAAGTAAGTTTTAATTTATTCAATTATTTTTAATCCTAAAACAATTTTTTTTATTTACATTTTTTCAAATAATTTTTCAAATAATTGTTCAAATGATTTTTCAAATAATAATAATAAATTATCTACTAATATTTCCTTTATTTTTTTGTTATACTAAAAAAAAAAAATTCTCTCTTTCTTTTTCTATTTTTTTTTTTTTTTTTTTTTTTGACAGATTTTTTCCGAGCATAAAAAGCATAACGGAATTATCGCAGTCGAGTAATATGCGATTCATGCAGTTCCGAGCACACGACAAGTATGCCCTTCACCTCAGCAAAATGGAAAAGGTACTCCTCAGTGCTACTTCCGGTGACAGCTACCCCGCTGAGCCTCACATGGGCTCCCCGGTAACACAATATCACTCACTCTGATTGATGATTGACTGACTGATCGATGTATTGATCACTAGACTGCCGATTATAATTTATCAATATATTCACTTTGACCTTCGATTAGCACTGAGATCCATCCTAGCTTTTTTTTTTTTTAAAAAAAAAAAAAAAGAAAACGAATCTTGTTATTTAAAAATGATTACAAAATTCAATATCTATGATTGATTGATTTTTTCGCAATGTTGATATTACGTTGGTATTTATTAATATTCTGTTATCGGAAAAAAAATTATTTTTAATCAACAATTTATAAATAATTATCCCAACCAAAAATTTCAGTATTATACCAGAGTTGACTACTGGCGCAATACTGGTTCAGTATTGGCTGCCGATACTGGGCTGTATGTAATGAACCAGTACTGGGTACTTTCATTGTATCAGTACTGGTGCAGTACCACCTTCCCACACTCAGAAAAAAATTCGTTTGAAGCAATCAAATTTTGTTTAAATCAACAAAATAAATGCATTGATATACAATTAACCAAACATTTGGTTGCATAAACCAAACGTTTATTTAGTTCAATCAAATTTTTTCTTTGTTCAAAAAATTTATTAAAATAAACGCAAACAGTTATTTAGATCAAATACAAATTTATTTGAATTAAACAAATTTTATTTGAACTAACCAAAAAATTGGGTAAATATAAAAAAAATCGTATATTTGGTTCAAATATATCTTTTTTTTTGAGTTGAGTACTGGCAAACAAGTACTGAGCCGATATTGAGCCAGTACTGGCACAAATAGATTTTCTTTTTGATTAATACTAGTTTACCAAAAAATTTCTAGAATGAACCCAATGAATCTTTTTGTTTTAAATATTTTATTCATCAAAATTTTTTCAAACTTGATTTTATTTTTCAAAATTAAAATCTACTTTATTTTGCTTTTCTCTGGTTAAAATTATTTAGACAAAAATGTTTCCTGGGACCAATTTTTGCAAAATTTTCTTTTTGTTTTCAAATCAAAAAAAAAAAAATTTAAACGATCAAACTAAAAATAAATAAATTTGTTTATTAAAAAATTAATATTTTTAAAAATAAAATTTATAATATAAATTTAATTTAAAAAATTAAATACAATTGCAAGTAAAATTGCACAAATTTTATATATTATCAATAATATAAAATATATATAATTAATTTTTCTTAATAGAAATTATAAAAAATAGTTAAACCTACAAACTTATATATTTCAATGGTCAATAAAATTATTGTAAGAAGGAATGAAAATTCTTTGTGTTTTCGATTTTATATAATAAAATATTTGACTAATTTAATTAATATTTAATTTTTGTTGAGTTACTAAAAATTTCAGACACTTTTTCCTAAGTATACCAAAAAAAAATATTACCTGGAGTGAAACTTTTTTCTGTTACAGTTAAAGCTTTCTTTTCGTATACAATAAATTACAAAACTGCCAGTACTCGGCCAGTACTGAACCAATACTGGTGCCAACTCTGGTAGCCAATACTGAACCAATACTGGTGCCAACTCTGGTAGCCAATACTGGTAAAATGTTATCATCCCAAAGTTACGCCAACTCTGGTGCCAGTACTACGCCAGTACTGCGCCATTAGTAAATTTTTGATTGGGTAGTAAAAAAAAATAATAATTAATAATTATTATTATTAAAATAATTTATAAGTATTAATTAATAAGTTTTTAATAATTTTTAAATGAAGAACAATTTTTAATATTAAAAAATAGTTAAAAATATTTAGAGCGAATAGATTTTTTTTTGTACCACAGATAGTTTTGAGTTCTTTAGATTCGATTTTTTCAAAGTAATAAAAATTACTCTGAGGGAATAACTTTTCTTAACTACAAATCCAATAAAAAAAAGCCAGTATTATTGTAGATTTCAACGAAAGCACATACAAAGTACACATATATATATATATAAATTCCGTTGTAAAAGCATGCCAAAGAAGTAGTTTGAGTTTAAAGGTAAAGTCACCGCGACCTTCTCAATGGGGAACCACTTTATCTTAAGTGCTTCTTCCACGTGCACTTGGACCGGCGCTTATCGACTTTGCGAATAGCATTTTTTTTTTTTTTATTTTTTTACTAGAACATAAAAATCTGTCTCACGATATGTTGTGTGCCAAAAAAAAAAAATTTTCTTTCCTATAACCAGAAATGTAACCTGTTGACACGTTCTTTTAAATTTAAGAAAAGAAATTAAAAAATAAATGAAAAATAATTTAAATTAATTTAAAAAAAAGTATATTTTAAAAAAAATATATATATTCTTAAATATATATATATATATATTATTTTATAACTAGAATCAATAATGAAATTAATAATAAATTCTTGAAATAAAAATTTCTAAATAATTAAAAATAATTTTTTTTTCTTTTCAAATATTTTTCTATTATATATAATAATAAATAATCGGCAAAAATGTGATATGAATTTTTAATATTAATTAACAATTTCGTAATGTTTTATATTTTCCTATGTGTGGGTATAATTATAATTTATTGTCAATTAATAAACTAGCAATTATCGTGTGATATCACATACGTTCGTATATATATACATTATATACATAACAAATGTATGTCAAATTTTTTGATAAAATTCTGATTATTGAAGATAATTTATTTATCACCCGGAGGCGTTAATTAATTATCAATTTAAAAATAATATTTAGTTGACATTAAATGGACATTTATCAGGTACGAAAAATCATATATATTATATTTTCCAAATTTAGTTTCCATAAATTATTGAAGAAAAAAATTGGTAAATTTTTAAATTTTGTTTCCATTTCTGGTTATATAATTTTTTTTTTAGGTATTTAAATTGAAATATTGTTTTCAAAACTCGAAAAATTTAAAAAATTTAAATACTTTAAAGCTACGGATGGACTCGTATAGTTTTTCTTTAATTATCGACTCTATGTATATATATATATATATAATATAGTCGAAGCACAGTTGCATTGTTTTAATCTTTTTTTTTTTTTAATTAGTTTCTCAGCTAGCGATGGTCTTTGCGATTACTTTTCAACTTTCACTTATTATTATTATTAAAGCTTGAAATCGAAACTGAAATAAACTACTTACATAATCAGTTTCATCATTTTGCATGTGTTGCTTGTGCCTTGTATTCTTCTTTATCTAAAGTGCATCTATTAATTTTTAAAAATATTTCAATCTTTTGCTATTTAATTATTCTATAAATTTTTTATAAATTTTTTATAAATATTCTATAAATATTCTATAAATATTGTATAAATTTTTGCTCATTATTTTCTAATTCAAATAGCAAAAAATAGACTTTTCTATTTTTTAAATACGCTAAGAAAAATTCAATTTTGTGAATATGAAAAATAATTTTTTTTTTTTTCAAAGCTCGGTAGAGTAGAAACAATTTTTGTTTTTGAGTGCAAAATTTTCGGTCTTTTTTAAAGCTTTCTAGAGAATATAAAGGCATGAGAATATAATAGAAGCCCTGTAGACTAAGACTGGACGTTTGGACCGATAGATTCTCATTTCGCTTCTCATCACAAAAATAATAATAATAATAATAAATATAAAAAATATCATACGCATGAATTTTACCGGTGGGCCCAAAAAAAAAATTGCATTTTAATAAATTTTAGAAAGACTAGAAGAAAAAATGATTTTAGAATGAAAGATATTAAAGAAAAAAAAAAAAAAAATATTAAATCGGTTTAGATCGAAAGTCCAAAATCTCCTTGTGTAAATAAGCTTTAGAATTTAGAATAAAATTTTAGAATAAGAAAAACGAAAAATATTATTTCACATGTAAAAATAATTGTTCTTTTTTTACATATACAGAGAGAAAAGGAGAGAGGCTCTCACATATCCTATATGTTTCGTCTGCCCTTTGCTGCTGGAAGTGTTTTCAGTGCCTCAATGTTGGACACTCTTCTTTATCAAGCATTCGTCAAAGATTATGTGATAACATTTGTTAGATTACTACTTGGTGTCGATCAAGCGCCAGGATCTGGATTTTTAACATCTGTAAGTTCAATTTTTTTATTGTAATTCCTTTTCAATAAAATATTTACTAAAAACAATTTTAATTAAAAAAATAAATTTAAAAAATTTTTTAAATTTAAAAAATTTTTTAAATTTTAAATCAATTGCAGATGAAAATATCAAAAGAAGATATGTGGATAAGAACTTATGGGAGACTTTATCAAAAATTGTGTTCGACAACTTGTGAAATACCAATAGGAATATATAGAACTCAGGATACAACGTTAACTGACACTTCACACGTGAGTATATATATATATATTAAAATTAAATAGAAAAAATATAATCAAATTTCAGTTTCATCAAACGGTCATTTCGCATAAGGATCCGAAAAAAAAAAATTGAATAATATCCAGTGAGTAGCGCATGATCGTGCTCTCATCGTATATAAATCATTTCTTGTGCATCGTATATATAATATATTTCATGATACAGAAAAAAAAAATTATGATCGCAGTAGTAAAAGAAAATTTTATTTTTCCATATATAACACTAAAATTAATAAAAAATAAAATTTTCGCTGTGATTCTTTAAAAATTCTATAAATCCTTTCTCTATTAAAAAAAAATGTTCGTATAATAGCCCTCTATTAAATATGAGACGTATGAATTCTCTAAAATTGATTCCTATTTTCAGTTTCAGAATTTTAAAATTCTAAAAACTAAAAATACATAATTTTTAGTGAAATTTCATACATCTTCTCTCTCTCTCTCTATATATATATATATATATATATATATATATGATAAATCCGTTGTTGCATCGTGTTAGAAATATGTGAAATTATTATGCATAATGTAGTAATGAGATATTAGACAAAAAAAAAAATATCCCATCACTATTTTCCTGACTGAGAGATTCCCCATCGATTTTTTTTTAAAATTTTAAAAAACAAACCCTCTCATGGTGACACTGAAAAAAAAATTTCAATTAATCTATTAACTATTATCAAATAAATATTTATACTTGAAACAAATAATTTACGATTAAATAATTTGTTTTTGAAACAATATCAAATATAATAAATAAAATATTTATTTGATAATAAAATAACTGATTAAATAATTTTTTTTTCAATGTAGAATTAAATCTCTAGTAAAAACAGGGTCGGATTTAGACCTACGGGGGACTTTCACTTTGGCGTGGAATACATCATATGTATTTTAATTTTGTTAGAATAATAATTTGTTTATAAACATTTATTAATTTTTATTAAAAAAACATTTATTTGAAAGAAAATTTAGCCTTTAAAAAAATTTGGGGGCCCTTGGCAAGCCGGGGCCCTAAGCAGTTGCTTATTTTGCTTGCATATAAATCCGGCCCTGCAGTAAAAATAATTATTTATCTCGAGATAAATTATTCTATTTTATAAAATTTTATCTCGAGAGGGAATCGTTTCCGTCTATATATAATGGAAAAAGTTTCAAAATTTGAATTAATAAAAAAGAAAAAAAAAAAAAGAAGTGCTGCCGAGTTCATGGAAAATGGATGCAGAATATTTGGTAGTAAGGGTAGAATATCTGCTTTTAACAGGGTGACTCAGATGCTGAGAGTGACGCCGGTGTTGGTGTGACATACAAAATACGACATTCATCAGCAGCATCCTGTTTAGCTAATTGTACCAGTCGTGATAAGGGTTCTTCTCCTGTGAGTAAAGTCGATGTATGTGTATATATATATATATTTATATATATACAAAAAATATTTTAATCTTCAACTTCTCTAAAGTTTTTGGTCCTTAAAAACTACTTTTACTTCTTTCATTAATTCTCAAGATTCTCTCATTTTTTTTTTTCTCTATAATATCTTAAAAACTACATTTTTTATTACAATAAAAAAAAAACATTAATTTTAAGGACCAAAATAATAGAGAAAATTTTATTTTTATATAATAAATGTAAAACAGTAGTATTTTTCTTTTATTTGTTATCTCTCTAATTTACAAAAAAAAAAAAAAAAAAAAAAAAAAAAAAATTTTAATAAAATGCACCGCATGAATCTCTAATTTTTCGTCATGGACTCCCGCAACGCAAATAATATGGAAATGTCGCACGTTCTCTACATCTATGTTTATCTTGATGTCGTCTTTCAGGTGTCGATTAACAGCTTTGGCAAAATTTCTGACAAGGTTTGCACATTATTTAATTTATATATATATTTTTTTTTTATACCATTTTGTGTGTTTTTAAATAAATTTAGGATATTTACTCCAAAAAAATATAACAATAATAATTAAAAAAACAAAAATAATAATAATTTGTCAAATATTTCACTTTTTAATGTTGTCTACGTATACACAGAAAATTAAAAGCCATTAAAATAAGCTGCAACGCTTATTATTTTAATCCAATTTTGCTTATTTTAATCCATTTTGATATTAAAATAAGCAAAAATTGGATTAAAATAATAAGCGTTGCAGCTTATTTTAATGCCTTTTAATTTTCTGTGTATATCTTTGTCTGTTATACAATTTTAAATTATTTATTTAAAAGATCAATCCAAAAAATTTTTAATTGTTTTTGAAAAATTAATTAAATTTTTTACAAGAGCACTTTTCTATAATATAATTTTTCATAAAATATTTTAATTGAATTTATTCTTATTGTCATTGCGAAAAATGTGGAATAATTTAAAAAAAAAAATTCAATTATATTAATAAATTTTTAAAAATGATGGTAGTTTATTTTTTATATTGGATATATACTTTTTATACAATATTCCAGAAAACTATACAAATAGTAACAATAATAATAATAATAATAATAATAATAATAATAATAATAATAGTAATAATAATAATAATAAATAAGATAAAAAAGTGTTATAAGAAATGTATGTCCAATTTAATGCTTGTTTTCATTTGGTTTTCTTTTTAGCAATTTAACACAATAATTAACAGCTTACTGTATATATATATATATATATATATATAACATGCACCTGTTTATATATAATAGCCTAGAAAAGTTTTTTAAACTCCTATAATTTTTTGTATTAATAGTATTAAAGAAAAGTTTTAGACAAAGAATTTTAAAATTTATCTAATCAGTAGTAAAAAATATTTTATGTCAGACAAAATATGTCACAAGACTTCTTCTATTCTAATTCAATTTAAGTAGTATAAATAAACGATTTATTTAGCCAAAACTTTTTTTCCAATTCTTATCTATAATATTATAAATTAATAGGAAAGAAAATCTTTTTTTTTTATGTTTGCAATTTTGTTAGTCATGTGATTGTTGTGATTGCACATGCAAATTTTTTTTTTTTTTTTCAAAATAGTTCAAAAAAATATACTTTTAATCACTTTTTAATTTTTGTTTTTTCAAAAATCTTTTTCAATTTTTTCAAAAAAAATTAAAAAGTGATCGAAATATTTTTTAACCTATTAATTACTTGGAATCACTGAAAAAAACAATAAAAAAAAAAAAATTTTTGATTAAAATAACTAGAATTCTGGTTATTTTAACCAGAAAAAAATATTACTTACTTTTTTTTTTTTTTTGATTGGAAGTATTAGAAAATTTGATTAAAACTTTTTGTTTCAATTTCTGTTCAATTTTAACCGTGAAATTCAAGTTATACCAGAATTTTCTAGTAAAAAAAAAAAAAAAAAAAAAAAAAATGCTGATTAAAAATTTCTAGTAAAAACCAGAAATTCTAGTTAAAAAAATTTAATTAACATAGAAAATTCAAAGGTATTAAAATAAGCTGCAACGCTTATTATTTTAATTCAATTTTGCTTATTTTAATACCAAAATGAATTAAAATAAGCAAAATTGGATTATTATTATTATTTTTTTTATTATTATTATTATTTTAATCCAATTTTGCTTATTTTAATACGAAAATGGATTAAAATAAGCAAAATTGGATTATTATTATTATTTTTATTATTATTTTTTGTATTATTATTATTTTAATCCAATTTTGCTTATTTTAATACCAAAATGGATTAAAATAAGCAAAGTTGGATTATTATTATTATTATTATTTGTATTATTATTATTTTTATTATTATTATTTTAATCCAATTTTGCTTATTTTAATACCAAAATGGATTAAAATAAGCAAAATTGGATTATTGTTATTTATTATTATTATTTTTATTATTATTATTTTAATCCAATTTTGCTTATTTTAATACCAAAATGAATTAAAATAAGCAAAATTGGATTATTATTATTATTTTAATCCAATTTTGCTTATTTTAATACCAAAATGGATTAAAATAAGCAAAGTTGGATTATTATTATTATTATTATTTGTATTATTATTATTATTATTATTATTATTTTAATCCAATTTTGCTTATTTTAATACCAAAATGGATTAAAATAAGCAAAATTGGATTATTGTTATTTATTATTATTATTTTAATCCAATTTTGCTTATTTTAATACCAAAATGAATTAAAATAAGCAAAATTGGATTATTATTATTATTTTAATCCAATTTTGCTTATTTTAATACCAAAATGGATTAAAATAAGAAAAATTGTATTAAAATAAAAAGCGTTGCAGCTTATTTTAATGTCTTTTAATTTTCTGTGAAATTATTATTATTGGCATTAAATTATTTTTAATTAAATTAATTACTGCAGGTGAAGTTTAAAAAAAATTTATTTATCTAAAGAAAATTTTTTTTAAAACTTCTATTTTACTCTCACAAGAAAATTAAAAGGCATTAAAATAAGTTGCAACGCTTATTATTTTAATCCAATTTTTCTTATTTTAATCCATTTTGGTATTATAAAATAAGCAAAATTGGATTAAAATATAATAAGCGTTGCAGCTTATTTTAATACTTTATAATTTTCTGTGGCTTTTTTTTTTTTTTTAATCGAGAAAACCATATGAAATCACAACAAATTGATATATTGAATAATAATAATATTTGAAAAAAAATATGAAATATGTTAAGAATAAAGAATTTTTGCTTATCACAGTATTCGGTGAGTGTTGGCGATGAGGCAAGGGACAATCATGCCCAACAAATAGAACGTGCAGAAATAGCAAATCTCGTGCGTTCAAGAATGGAATCATTAAATTTACCAATAGCCGATTACGATGATGTCTCAGAGAAACGTAATAGTCTCTCATATGTGATCATTAATCCCAGCTGTGATTTAAAACTTGAGGAAGGCGATATTGTTTATTTAGTACGACCGAGTCCATTTTCAGCGCAAAAAACATTTGAACGTCATAATTCAAGGAGAAAAAGTAACATTAGCTTTTGTTCAGCGCAATTAGTTCAACAAATGAGCGCTGCCGTTGCATCGGCTGGACTTACTGGCGCTGGATCAGGAAGTCGTCGTGGCTCTGGGATCGGATTGGCCAGGGCACCACCACTCGGGAATACAAAATCAAATTCACTTTCTCTACCAGACAGTCCCACCGTGGCCGGTAGCTTGAGGGGTCGTTCAAATTCCCTTCGAGTCGTTGACGATATACTACTCAGACGTAGCAACTCATTGAGGCAAGGTTTAAGTGGAGTGTCAAGAAGAAAAAGTAGCCTCGAGGACATTGGCCTGGGTTCACTTTCGCATCATTCAAATTATAATCCTATTAAAATTGCCTTGAACGGTTCCATTGGATTGGAAGTAACGCCACCTGAAGAAGGTGGTTCACAAGGTGTAAGTGCTTCCAATACTGGAATTCTTGATGTTGGCCTTCCTACAATACCTGCATTTGGAATGGGATTGAATCCAACGGGATTGGGTGGTTCATTGGGTGGATTATATGATCCCCCATCAATTCAAGAACCAATTGGTCCTGCAATTCAATCCTCATCCACGCAAGGTTCACAGGATCCACAGCATATACAAGGGACATTTGTATGATATCATCTCATGTGGGGACGCAGGCTCTCCAATGTAGTCAGAAATAAAAATCAGCAAACGAACTTTCGTAATATTATCTAATTTTTGCTGAATTCACGTTCCCACATGTAAAAAATAGAACAATGATGATATATATATATATATAGTTATAGGATATTAAATAAAATAGGTGGGAGAGACTCTTATTTTTATTCTTTCATCTTCTTCAAAAGTCGCCGTCGTGTTCGTTGTTGTCAATTATTCGGGGAATATCAATTTTTTTTTTTTTGCACTCAGAGAAAAGGTACTATTCTTTGAAACAAAAAAATTTTTTTTACATTCAGTCATGTTCTTATCAAACTTTTTTTTTCCCCCGATATGTCAATTTTGTGTGCCAAAATTGTAATTCTATTGCATTTAATCATAGAAAATTAATGGGTATTAAAATAAGTTGCAACGCTTATTATTTTAATCAAATTTTTATTTTAATTCATTTTGGTATTAAAAATAAGTAAAATTGGATTAAAATAATAGTTGCAGCTTATTTTAATGCCTTTGAATTTTTTGTGAAACAATTGATTTATTTTAATAAATTTTTCTCGAATTTGATTGATTCAAATAAATGAATTAGTAAAAATACTAATTTGAATTAGTGACTCACTTTTTGCTTCTGAATTAGTAAAATTTTACTAATTTTACTTTAACTAACAATTAGTAAAATTTAACTAATTCTAAAGCAAAATATTTAAATTAGTAAACATTTTTACTAATTCAGATTTAGATAGTGTATAGCAATTCTTTTATTATTATTCACAGAAAATTAAAAGGCATTAAAATAAGCTGCAACGCTTATTATTTTAATCCAATTTTGCTTATTTTAATCCATTTTGGTATTAAAATAAGCAAAATTGGATTAAAATAAGAAGCGTTGCAGCTTATTTTAATGCCTTTTCATTTTCTGTGTTATTATTAATATTCTTATTCTTAGAATTATTATAAAAATTTGATTGTTTTAAGAAAATTTTTTTCTGAGTGTGCATAATAAGTCAGCGGTGACGAAATAAGGAAAATTTTCATTTTTTTTTCGATATTAATTTTTCTGTTTTGAAAAAAAATGACAAATTCCAATAATTTTTAAACTAGTTTAAGCAAATATTTTACATTCAAAAAACATGTGGTTAAAATTTTAAAATAGAAATAATTTTTCAATAAATTAAAAACTTTTGAAATATCGCACATTTTGTATAAAAAAAAAAAAAAAAAAATTTTTATAGAAGTTATTTTAATTTATCTGAATTTTCGAAGAAATAAATAATTGCGATTTTAATAATTTATTAATGAATAATAATTATAATAAAATTCTATTGCAATTTTACAATTTTTACTTGTAAAATTCATACGTAAAAAAGTAAATTAACTAAAATTAGTAGACAATATTAAGATTCGAATTAATAAAACGAATTTATATAATTTCAACTCAATGATGCTTTTGCACACGAAAAAAAGAAACAATTTTTTTTTTCAACATAACTAATTTAAAGTTGAAAAAAAAATGAAAATTTCGTCCCGCAGACTTGGATTTTTTTTTCTCGATATTCGACGACTTAAATTTCAAGCTACCTGCTATTAACACGAAGGTAACTCCGATGGTTGAGAAAATCCCGTGTGGTGGTGTTCCTGACGCTTCGTGTCCTGGAGTTTAAAAAAAAAAAAATAAAAATAACTTTTTCCTTAAAAATCGAGTGTCGAGTGGAAATATTCAAGACTCAAATTGTGTGAAAAGTGAAAGACAATATACCACATGAGCAAAAACAAAAAAAAAAAAAAAAATGACATTAAAATTCATATCCGTGATAGTGTCAAAATTATTTTATTTGACTCTCAAAAATATATTAGAATCAATATCGCAATCATTTTTGAGGATCAATCAAGAAAAAAAAAAGCAGATGACGCTTTAGTAAAGCTTAGAGTAAATAGTAATATAATTTATATATATATAATAATTGCGAACGTTGAAAAATGGAAAACTGTGAAAAAAAAGTGCAAAAGCGACCTAAATGCAAATTCTCATTAAATTTATTAATTAAGCATATTAAATTAGAAAATTATATATGTTAAACATAAAAAATGTTTCAATTTCTAGATTTTATTTTCAAACAAAAAAAAAAAAAAAAAGAATTATGAATTATTGCACTTTTGTGAATATTGCAAAGAGTTTTTTTTTTCCAAATATTCTTTTAATGCATATCATGTTTTCTAAACTTTTGATTATGTATAAATTATTTAAATGAATTTTGATCAATCATTTAGACAATCTTGAAAAATAATCGAAATTTATAAATTTATTACAACAATTTTATTGGTCCAAAATAATTTCAAAGACTTTTTATTGCTCATTGTATTATTATAATCTCGCAAAAAAAAAAAGATATATATCTATAGCTAAAAATTAATTAATTTTTAATTAATCAATTTTTTTCTAATTTTTTTCTTTCTGCAAATTTTAATTATTCTGCGACAATCTCTTTTTGTTATAAATAAAGAATCTGATGGAAAATCCTCAAATATACCTCAAATTTATCAAATGCATATAATAAAGAGTGCATTTTTTTTTTTTTTTTTTGCAGAAAGCGGGATCAGTCAAATGTAAACTCGACCAATTTACATAATGTTTATTTAAAAAAAAAAATTTTTTTGTTATGCTCTTTGATTTTCAAGAATTCTTTAAATAGAAATTAAAAAAATAATGTTTCACTCTAATTAGAAAAAGTACAAAATAAAAAAGTTTTTAATAAATCTTTAAATAATTCAAAAAAATTAATATTTTCAACTTATTCTATTTAATTATTATTCTAATTGCATTGTACTTTAAATAATTGTAATTTAAACCAATTTATCCACAAAATATAAAATAATTTTTAAATAAAAAATGTATTTCCAAAATTTTTTCTTTAGAGCAGAATTCGCTTTTCTTATTAAAAGTATAAATAATGATATAAATATTTTTCGTAATATTTACAGTAATTTCACACTATTTTTATTTTTGTTTTTTTGTTTTTTGTTTAGATAAAAACTTGTAATATAGCCTGCATTATCTAAGTTCGTCTTCGATAATTCATTTAAAACACATGTATTATATATAAATATTACTACAAATGACTTCAAAAAATAAATCTGAGGCATCGATTTTTTTAGAATTTTCAATTATTAAAATCTAGAATCGAAATTTAGAAGTCTAGAGACAAAAAAAATACCGTAAAGTGTGAAATCGAATGTCCGAATGTGTGTGTTTTAATCGAGTATGCATGTATATATAGTTAAAGATTTGTCATATAGAATTTAAAAAAAAAAAAAAAAATTATTTAAGGATAATAAATTTGCGAGACGAATTAATATGTCACGCCGAAATACAGAAACAATACTGCGAGAATTATAATTCCTCTTTGACGAGTAACAATAATAATTAAATCGCATTATCTACATTATATATATACACAGGTAGTCCATATCGCATCGGGGAGGGCTCCAAAAAAAAATATGACCAAACAAATTTTTTCAAAAACTTTCATCAAAAAAAAAAAAAAAAAAAAAAAAAAAAAAAAAAAAAACATTTGCACAGTATTTTTTTTAACTATAAAAACGTATTTTCATGTTACGGAACTCGATTTTCAATAGTTGCAATTCTTTTTAATTTTATTATAATTAATATTATATATATTTTGTTATATTATTATAGTGATATTATCATGTTAATTTTATTTATATAAATTATGACTGTTGAAAATATTTGTTATTTATTGTAAAAATTAAGGTCGAGTTCCATAACAAATATAAAAAAAAAAAATTCTTCGAAAAAATATTCGCAATACGATGTATATGAGTGATAAATCACAAATTTTTGATCGTGTGACTCACGAAAGCATCGAGTACTATACATATTTGCGTAGAAGAATAAATTTGTAGATTGTACTTCTCTCGACCAGAAAACAAAATGTTATATACGTGATTGCACGTGATGTAAAATATTAAAAAAAAAAAAAAAAAAAAAAAAAAATGTATCATATTGCCATCATTGCAAAAACATCTCGTTCGCTCGCAACGGATTAAATTTATTATAAAATAAATTATTATAAAGCAAATTGTTTATTTATTTAAAAACAACTTTTTATTTTTTAAAAAAAAATGAGATTTAATAAAAAAAGAAACTCATTTTAGATAATTATATTCAGGCGTAATAAAATATTACATAGCTTAAAATATTGATGCATCGTACTTTTTTTTAATCGAATACATTTTTGGAATGTTCTACAAATTAATAATTATTTACAAAACTGGACAATTTTCTAACGACGCGCCATTAAAAATTTTCAGTCAGTATCTTGTATATATATATATATGTATATATCAAGATTTATATTATGTGCATACACTTCTTTTGTGTATAGTAAAATTACAAGTAAATTTTATAATACTTAGATTTTCTCTCACTCGTTACATTCTTTTTTTTTTTTTTTTTTTTTTTTTTGTTTTCTTAATGTAAAAAAAATCACCTTGTATAAAAATATTATACTTTTTTTTTTTTTTAAATGCGTCTCATATCAAGTGTGCTTTTTTGTTCACTCAATTTTCTACGTCGTTAGATTGAAATCTTTAAATGCTCATAAGTCTCTGATATTTGAAATAAATAATTAATTATCTATATATATATATTATATTTTATATATGTGTATTATCTTTTTAAGATGATTAGAGATTTTTCACAGGTCTCAGGACGTTTTCGGTAAATTGGCCAACAATATTACCTCTTGGATGATAACAAGCGACCACAACACAGGTTCCATCTTTTTTCGCCATTGCTATTCCCATTTCGCTTGTGGATTTCCAAATAATTTGGGTAAAATGACCTATGTGGAAAAAAAAATTTTTTTTTTTAAATAGAAAAAAAAAAAAATTGAAAGAAAATGACTTACAAGTATTGAGGACTTTTGGCTCAATTCCAAATTTGTGCTCCTTCCTCTCCGAATACCATTTTGATATAACTTCTCTAGGCGATACAATTAATTTTGGATCGGAACATTGCATTGAATAAATATTTTCTCCATAAGGTGAAGTCGACTGCGGAATCAGTTTATTAGTATTTAATAGCGTGTGTGCCCAGGCCTAAAAAAAAAAAAGGTTTAATTTTTTAATTTCGTCAAAGGAAACAAAATATTTTAGGTGAAATTCAATTTTTTTTATTCTCTAAATTAAAGTTTGAAAATGAAAAATTACTTTTGCAGCTGCTGTAAGTTCTGGACTTAGTCTTAAATCCAAAACTCGATGTCTTCGACGATATTCATTATGTACAAGTAGTGCCTCTTGTTGCCATGATTGTTCATCAATTGCAATTTGTTGTTTTTGATCAATGAGAATGATTCGTTTTTCTGAACAGCTTCCAGCTGGCGATAGAACATTATCCGTGAAACTACCGAGAAAATTACCCGCTGGATTATAATTGCATACAACATAGACTTCTCCATTGCGATTTCTTGCCATTCCAACGCCAAGTTCCGTACTATCGCGCCAGACCACCTGTGAAAAATGACCGGTTTTCAATGTGGTAGGTTCCTTGTTATACTGATGTTGCGTTTCTTCAGCGTACCTAGAAAAAAAAAAAAAAAAAGAATAATCATCTCTTTCATTAGTCATTCAATATCTAAACTTTCACACTAAATTCACAGAAAATTAAAATCACACAAATTTAAAAGTATTAAATTGATACCAAAAATATCAAATTGTTACAAATTTTTATATCAATTTGATATTATTGGTATCAATTTGATACTTTTAAATTAGTGTGAAGGCATTAAAATAAGCGTTGCGGCTTATTTTAATGCCTTTTATAATTTTCTCTGTTATTATTATGAAAAAAAAAATTATTTTAATTAGTATTTAATAATACTTGATTCCCTTTTGAAAATATATAATTGAATTTTTTTTTTAATTTAGAAAAATCTTTTTTTTTAACTTGCCATTCATTCACCGGCTCTTCACCACCAACAAGTGTCTTTGGATTCGAACTCCACATACAATAAAGATTTTCACCATAATCTATATTGGGTCTGTGTTCTAATCGACCCCTGGCTGCCAAAACATTGGCCCATTCTTGACTTGCTCTGCAAAGCTGTATAGAAATTAATTATTAAAAATTACCAAATAGAATATTAGTTTTTTTTTTCTAATTTCTTGAGAAAGAAAATTTTATTTTTATATATATTTTTTTTTTTTCACTTTTTATCAGAGGAGAATCAATTTTACACTTTTTTTTCAAATTTTTTTTTTATATCAAAAAATATAAAAGTAATAAATGTTTTATTGAAACACTGCTTTTTCTGAAACCTTTCAAAGGTGTGGCAATAAAGACAATTAAGATTGTAACGTATACGAGATTTTCTAGGTCAATTCATTTTATCAAATTATTACGTAAAACTCTTTCTGCGAATTCAGTGATTATAAAAGAAAAAAAAAAAAAGAAAGATTTTTTTTTTAACCATTGCAAATCAATAAATGATAACATTTGGAAAAATTGAAAATAAAACATTTGAAAAATTGTGAAGAAAAAAACAGAATTAATTGAAAAAAAAATAAAATAACAAACCTGTTTACTGAGTCGTAAGGGTGGAACTCCATGTCGGGCTCGATAAAAATTATGTGTATCAAGACAAAGGTTGATAAATTCCTTGCTAGCACCCGATCTACGCACAGACGGTTTACGTGTTTCAGTCTTTGTAATCTAAAAAAAAAAAAATAGAGAAATTCATAAAAAAAAAACAAAAAACAAAAAATCATTTCCTCTCAAGTAGAGAAATAAATAAATTATTATTTTATTGGTTAAATTCAATCTTATACTAACTGACAAAAGAGATTTCCCATTATCAATTTTCTTTAGACATATTTTCTCAAGAAAAAAAAAAAATTGACATTCTATTTTTTTTCATTCAATTGTCTTTTCTTTCAATCATGAAAAAAAACAGGAAATAAAAAAAAATCAAATTCGAAAATACCTTCTCTCTAAATTTGAATTAGTAAAAATTTTTACTAATTTAAATTAGTTTTTTTTTGCTTTAGAATTAGTTAAATTTTACTAATAAAAGTTACTAATAAAAATTTTACTAATTGAGAAGCAAAAAGTGAGTCACTAATTCAAATTAGTAAACTTTTTTACTAACACAGAAAATTAAAAGGCATTAAAATAAGCTGCAACGCTTATTATTTTAATCCAATTTTGCTTATTTTAATCCATTTTGGTATTAAAATAAGCAAAATTGGATTGAAATAATAAGCGTTGCAGCTTATTTTAATACCTTATAATTTTCTGTGAATTCATTTTACTAATTTATTTTTTAAAATTCATTTTTTTAAACAAAGAAACATGACTGTAAAATTTAACATCCCATTTGACAAAATATGCGTGAGAAAATTGTTTATAGAGAAAATAAAAAGAAAAGTCGAACATGAATGAGAACGAAACGACGCACGCAATATATCTTTGATGAAGAGGCATTTTAAATAGAAGGGGGAAAAAAAAGAACGATTCTTATATGAGACGAGAAATTTTTTTTTTTTTTTTTTGATTAGTCATTGAACATGAAATGAAGCATTAATTGAAAAGTCGACTAATTTGATAGAGCATATATATATATATATATATATATATATATATATATATATATATTATAAATTGATGAAAGTTTTTTAATGGGACACATAAAATTCTCGTATATTTATAAATAATTTAAAAATTACTCATGCGAAATATAACGAACAACGCTTAATAATTTTATTTATTTATAATTATTAATTTGTTTTCTTTTTTTTTAATTTTTATATTAATTTAATATTTTTTTTAATATATATATATATTTTTTTTTACCTGTGAGGAAGAATATCTCGCTGAATCCGGAGACGCTGAGGAAGACCTTGCACTGCTACATGACATTCCATCGCTGCCGAGGCTGCTGTGAAAACTGCCGTGTAACGAATTAGACAATGGTCCAGGTGATGCTGGTGAGGCTGCCAATGGTGATTTCGATCTTACCGAGTCAGCTCTCGATCTGAAATAATATTTTTCCCACTTTTTTCTTTTTTTTTATCTATCTCAAGAAAAATCTCATTCTTGAATATGAAAGATGAACATGATTTCGATTCAGCAATAAAATTTTAATTAAAAAAAAAAATAATAAAAATTGTCACTTATTTTTAAAAAATATTCAATATTGTAAAAAAAAAAAAATGAAAAAAAAAGAATATAATCAGAGGGAGTTTGTTTATTGAGTACCAAAAATTGTTTTGTAGGTTCTTTACGTCTATAAAGAAGACACGCTTTCACTCACGTTTTTATACGTGCGTCTACTTTATATACTTATTATTCCGATTAAATTAAACATATTTTTCATGCACTGCGGATATAAATATATACTTTTCCTTCATATGAGTTCGTGACATCCTCTGACATTACTCACAAAATATAAATTTACTTGAATCCACCATGAATTTATTTTTTTATTCTTAATTTAAATAAGAATATATTTTTATAAAATAAAATATAATTGAAAATTTATTTTTTGTTACCTTTTTTATTATAATTTTTCTTTTTTTTTTTTTTTAAAGAAAAACTATTTGTATAAAAGGATTTGTTGTTAATAAATAAATAATACAGAAAAATAAATAAAATTTTAAAAATATTAATTCACAAAAATAAAATTTCTTTTTTAAATAAAAAAGAATATTTTAATCAGTTTGGATAACAAAGTGAGATTTATAGCAAAAGCGAATGATAAATATTACTTCTATTGCATTTAAGTGAAAGAGGTGATTGTAAAAATTTCTTGCTGGAAAGATAAGATGCTCGGATTTATGCAATTTATACACGTATGTATATATATATATATATATATATATATATATATATATATTCTCTGTCTGGATGTTACATCATCGAATTAAATATACAGCATGCATGACAAGTCAAATAATAAATTAAGAATTCCATTGAAAAATTTGTTAAAAAACACCTGACTAGATACGTTAAATTTTTTTTTTCTACAATATAAATATTATTTTCTATATATTTTTTTTTTTTTTTTTAAATGACGTTAATTTAAAAAAAAAATTTTTATTTTTAAATATGAATGTGTAATTGTGAATTTATGAAAAGCATAAAATATGAAAGAAATATGAGAATAAAAATTCGATAAGCAATGTCAAGTATCGTGCTTCTAACTTTTTTTTTTATCAAGTTGAGAGAAAGCTGAAAAAAAAATTGAGAGTTCACAATCGTGACGGAAGACTACCGTTCGATGCATCTAGTTTATTGTCTATTTCACTTTAACTGTATTATTCTATTATTATTTCCTGTCAAACCCTATAATTATATACAAAAACACAAAGAACTAAAACATTTTATATAATATTATATATAAATTATTTTTAAGGAAAATAATATTTCTATTCAATAATTTACAATTTTTGAAAAATCTATAAAATTTTATATAAAATTTTTCATTAGTGAAAAAAAGAAACTATTATTAAATACAAAAATTTATAAATAGATTTTTTTTTTTTACTTTTCAGCAATCTGACAACTTAAACTAAGACTGCGTCTCTAGAAGAAACAGGTTTTCTAATTTTTTTTTTTTTTTAAATCAGTACCTTTCAGGTGTCAACTGGTCAACAAAACCGACAACCTTCTTTTTCGATCCGCTAACGTTGAGAGAAGGCATACTACAAGGATCAAGGATTTACTGTTAGGGTGGGTTGAAATAATTTTCTAATTATTTATAATTTTCTAATATTAACGAATTCTAGAAACTCTGTCAGGTTTCCGGTTCATTTTTACAATCAAAAAAAAAAATTTTTTTTAATCATCTATAATAATAATTATCGCAATTGTTATTACCTCAAAGAAAAAGAACAAAAAAGTAGAAAAAAAATAATCAACAACTATTGTAATTATATAATATCAGAATTAATAATTATTAAAATCCTAAAAATATCAATAATTAAAAAAAAAAAAGCCAAACACTGATATATTTCTAATTTGCAGAAAATTACTACAAAAAAATTCTTTGATAAGAAAAAATCTTTTTCTTTTTGAAAATTATAAAAATCACTTACCTATTTGACTTGGGGGTAACAATATCACGTGTTTCTGAAGTATATTTTCTCTCGGCTCGTCCACCATTAAATAATTCCACAGTTTCCCTTGTCACTGTTTCTAAAAGTGGTTCACCACCACTTCGTCGACCTTTGCTAAAAGTTCTTTGGTCAGTTTTACGAACCATAACGACCCTTGACAGTGGTTGATTGAACTCATGGCCATGCATCGTTGGAGGAATCATTGCTAACGATTGTGAAAGTGGACCACCTACACGAGGTGATCTAAAACAATTAGAAAAAAGAGACAATTTAAAAGAAAAACTCATTTTTTACATTCACTTATATAATAATAATAATAAATAAATATTTAAATTCGATTGATATTTTCAATTCGCCTGTTATTGCTACAAATTAAAGAAAAGAAAAATTAATCAAGTAAATTATTTTCTTTGTATCTCCTGCACACTTGAATTATTTTCCAAGTAATTTCATCTGAAAATTATTTTACTCATTTTTTTTTTTTTTTTTTTTGCTTTCATCATGATCACTTGAAACAGTAAAATTTCACTGAGAAATTGACGATAATTCACTTTTTGTTAACTCACTGTAAAGAGTTTTTTTTTTCATTTTTTATATTTAGGACAACTTTCCAGTTTATGAATTTATTTGAAGCAGTGCACTACTTTTTATTAAAGAACGATATATAATTTGTGTTTTTTTTTGTTTGAAACTGAAATTTTCCTTTTAAAATATATTTAATCTTAGGAAAAATAATATAGTAGTATTAACTTTTATTTTATATAGTTGAAAAATATATATATATATATATATGACAAATTAATTGTTCTTTCTAGAACATTCTGAGCATCTGTTTCCTCGCCAATGAAATTTCTATGATTTTACGACTTTGTGCATAACTGCCACATGCTATAAACCTGTTTTCAGTTTCGCGGTATTGTCGCTACCATGTGTTAAAATTCAACATCCAGACGTTTTAAGTGTATTTTTATTTTTTTTTGCCAAAAAAACGATGTCTGACAATACAATTTTTTTTCTACATAAAAATTTATAAATCATAGATCATTGATCTTAGATTAATGATCCATCGATCTTAGATTAATGATCCACAGAAACTAGATTTATGATCTACAATATATAGATCAATTGATCAATGATCCATAAATCCTAGATTTATGATCTACAATATATAGATCAATTGATCAATGATCCATAGATCCTAGATTTATGTTCCTTAGTTTATAGATTATTAATTCAGAGAATAATTAACCGCAGATCAATAATTTATAGTACTATATAGATTTTTGATCGATATATTATTTATTCGATCTGTAGATCAATTGAGCAATGATCCATAGATCCTAGATTTGTGATCCATAATCTATAAATTAATTCACAGAATAATTAACCGTAAATCAATAATTTATACTACTATATAGATCTTTGATCGATATATTATTTATTCGATCTATAGATCCATTGATCAATGATCTATAGATCCTAGATTATGATTTATAATCTGTAGATCAATAATTCAACGAACCGTAGATTAATAATTTATAGTTCTATAATATATACAGATCTTTGGTCCAGATACTTATTCGATGAATAATGATTCATAGATCCTAGATTTATGATAAATCTATAGATCCATTGATCAATGATCCATAGATCCTAGATTTATGATCCTTAGTTTATAGATTAATTAATTCAGAGAATAATTAACCGCAGATCAATAATTTATACTACTATATAGATCTTTGATCGATATATTATTTATTCGATCTATAGATCCATTGATCAATGATCCATAGATCCTGGCTTTATGATCTATAATCAGTAATTAAATGAACGATAAAATGTAGATCAATAATTTCAATATTTTAATAATAGTACTATATAGATCTTTGATTAATTTTATTATTTATTCGATCTATAGATCCATTGATCAATGATCTATAGATCCTAGGTTTGTGATCCATAATCTATAGATTAATTTACAGAATAATTAACCGTAAATCAATAATTTATAGTACTATACAGATCTTTGATCGATATATTATTTATTCTATCTATAGATCCTAGATTGTGATCTATAATCTATAGATCAATAATTCAATGAACCATAGATTAATAATTTATAGTTCTATAATCTATACAGATCTTTGGTCCAGATACTTATTCGATGAATAATGATTCACAGATCCTAGATTTATGATAAATCTATAGATCCATTCATCAATGATCTATAGATCCTATATTTATGATCTATAATCTATAGATCAATAATTCAATGAACCATAGATTAATAATTTATAGTTCGATATACAGATCTTTGGTTCATATATACTTATTCAACAAATAATGATCCATAGATCCTAGATTTATGATAAATCTATAGATCCATTGATCAATGATCCATAGATCCTAGATTTGTGATCTATAGATTATTAATTTAAAAAAATAGATTTTAATTTAATGACAAAACTATTAATTGACTTCTATCGTTGCTTAAAAACTAGAAATGTTTTATCGAAAAGAAAAATGTCTGACTAAATTATTTTTTTTCTACTTATTAACATTTGAATATGTTGAATAAATAAATTATTATTATTTTGAGAGCTGTAAGAAATGATTTATACTTGATTGTGTGTGCAGAGAAGTTCCCTTTCACTATTTTAAAATAGACACACACCTCTTGATGATCATCATCATCTTATGCAGGAGAAAGAAGAAAATGGTTATCCGCTTGATTAATCCGTTATCCTAGCAACTAAACCACTCGTCATATATATATATATATATATATTGAGTGAAACTCGTTAGGCTCGCGCGCATATTGCAACTTGCGTAACTTTAACCACCAAGCGATCATTCTGTTCGGCGAACAATGAAAACCGGATTGCTCCCGCGCTGAAGAATACTTCCTGTTGAATGCCTTCAAACGTGCAATTTTACAGTTCATTTTCAACTCTCAAAATTACATCAATAATAATAAACAATATACAGAGGCGTGGGAATCAAAAAAAAGCTCCCCAGAAAATTATTATTATTTTTCTTACAATTTTTTAAATATATATCTATATTAGAAAAAAGAAAGGGGCACAAAAATTTATATAACAAAATTAAAATATTCAATAGAATAAAAAATAACAAAAATCATCAGGAAATGTTTTCTTTCAAAACTTGTCTTTCTTTTTTTGCAAAAAAAAAAAAAAAAAACTAATTAAAAAGAAAATGCAATCATTCCTTATAAACTTGGATCTTAACATGTTTTTCCAGTTTTATGTCTATATACGTGTGAACTTTCAAAATAAATAACGAAAGTGTTATAAGAACTCTCTTGTAATCATGTATCTAATCGGAAAAGCGGCAAGTTCCCTTATATTGTTTACAAAAACAAGTTATTTGCGAGTTTAAAAAAAAAAATCAATTAGTAGAGATATTTTTAATTACTTTTTCTTTAAATATAAAACAAAGAAAAATAAACTCAACACTGATATATAGTAAATGAATTATAAAATTAAATAATTTTATATCACCACAGAAAATTAAAAGACATTAAAATAAGCTGCAACGCTTATTATTTTAATCCATTTTTGTATTAAAATAAGCAAAATTGGATTAAAATAATAAAAGTTGCAGCTTATTTTAATACCTTTTAATTTTCTGTGACAGAATCAAAATTTTGAATTTTAAATACAAAAATCAATTTGAATATACACGTTCACTGTAAAAACTGACCGTCTTAAAAGTGCAAAAAACGTCTTGTTTTAAGACGTTTTTCGCGTCTAAGACACCAAATGTGTCTTAAAACAAGACTTTTTTTTTGCACTTTTAAGACGGCTAGTTTTTGCAGTGTTATATTAAAAAAAATAATAATAAAATAAGTTTTTAAGTGTTAAAAAAAAAATTATAAAAATTTTATAAATAACAAAAATAAATTATTGTAAATTGTATCTATAAATAAATTTGATAGTGATAATTAATATTTGCAAAAATCTTCTTTATGTAAAATTTTTCATAGTAGCAGTTTTCTTATATATATATATATATATATATATATATATATATATATATATATATATATATATATATATATGTCAATAATATATATATGTAACCAAGCAAAGGTTAAACAACTCATCCCACCGCAGTGACCTTTTTTATTATCATGGGGAAAAAATTTTTGTAACCACTATTTTAATGTATATATATTCACTGATATAAATTAAAAAAAATTAAATCTCAGTCAAATGAAAAGTTTAAATGTTTTTTTAAAATTGGAAACCTACACCTGCACTAAAAAAAAAAAAAAACAATTTTCTTCATACTTCAGCGCACCTTAATAACTAGACGATTCTTCTTCAAACACCTGCTAGTTTTTTGTAACCTCACTATATATATATATATATGTATATGTTATAACTCTTCCATTATTTTCTCACGCACTGTTACTATATGAATTAACTTATTGTTTACTTATTACTATATTAAATAATACTAATCCTTTTAAAGATTATGTTTTATTTTCATTTACTCTCTAAATCTGAATTAGTAAAAATGTTTATTAATTTAAATTAGTGACTCACTTTTTGCTTCTGAACTAGAAAAATTTTACTAATTATTAGTAACTTTTACTAATTCTGAAGCTTCGGAATTAGTAAAATTTTACTAAGTATTAGTAACTTTTACTAACAATGAGTAACTTTTACTAACAATTAGTAAAATTTAACTAATTCTAAAGCTTCGGAATTAGTAAAATTTTACTATGTATTAGTAACTTTTACTAACAATTAGTAAAATTTAACTAATTCTAAAGCAAAAAGTGAGTCACTAATTTAAATTAGTAATCATTTTTACTAATTCAGATTTATAGAGTATATATATATTTTTCTCACAGTGAATATAAAATTATATTATATTTTATTAAATATATAATATAATATAATATTTATTATCAAAAAATGAAAAAAGTAATTCCAAAAAAATTGAATAATATAATGTATAATATAATATAAAAATAGAATATTTTATTATATTATAGAATTTATTGCACGGATAAATCTTAGAATTTCGTTTGTAAATAAACGACTTACTGAAAAATGAAGCACTGAATAAATGTTATTCACATGAAACAAAGAGAATCATATTGTTCTGAATTTAGAGGAAAATTTTTGACGTTTACATACGAAATGTTTTGACATTATGATATATATATAGAGAGAGACACGTTTGAGAAAGAAAAAGGGACTCTTTCGGTA